CCCGCCTGGATCGAAGAGTGCAAGCAGCACGCTCTGGGCTCCGAGGTTCCCAGGATCCTGGTGGGAAACAAGTGCGACCTGCTGGACTCGGTTCAGGTGGGAACGGACTTAGCGCAGCAGTTCGCAGACGCTCACTCCATGCCGCTGTTTGAGACGTCCGCTAAGAGTCCAAACAGCCCAGGGGACAGGAAGTCCCTCAGCAGCGACCACGTGGAGGCCATCTTCATGACCGTGGCGCATAAGCTGAAGTCCCAGAAGCCGCTGGTCCTGAGTCAGCCGCCCGAGGGGTCAGGGGGCACCGTGACCCTGAACGCCGGGAGAAACGATGGGGCGGACGGGGGCAGCGGTTGGAGCTGTGGCAGTTGCTAAGCAACAGGGGACGGACACTGCTGGGTTTACTGGTTCTGGGATCAGAACCATTACAGCTCCTAGTCCTCATGCTGCCGCAGAACCCTGATGGACCTTCCAGCTCCTGGACAATGAGCCCAGAACTGTTCTGAAGCATAAACCCAAATATTTTAGCATCCATTTCAAATAAAAGCTGTTTTCTTTCATTAATGGAGACCAGAAGTGATGAGATGGACCCGTCCAGAACCGTCCATCACCATTGATCTGTGCCTTCCGGACCCAGACCCGGATCCATCCCTCTGCCCGCCCAGAACCGGATCGATTTTTAATTTAAACTGATCAAATGATGAAAGAAAATTGTTCTTTGCAGGTTCTACAGATTCTGTTCAATGTTTCTAACAGCACTTTTTTTTAAAAATGGCTGCTCATCCCATGAACCCCTGCAGCATCTAGGGGTCACGAACCCAATATTGAAAACAGTAGAAATGTGATGGAAGACTTTAAAGATGTTAAGTTTACTTCTTTGGTAAATAATTTCTTCTCAGGAACACTGGCTACGGTTGCTAACAAGGAATGGTTGCTAACTGGTTCTGGTTGCAAACATGGCCTGGATGCTAATAGGCTCAGGTTGCTAACAGGGCCTGGATGCTAATGGGCTCTGGTTGCTAAATGAGCCTGGATGCTAATAGGCTGTGGTTGCTAACAGGGCCTGGATGCTAATAGGCTCAGGTTGCTAACAGGGCCTGGATGCTAATAGGCTCTAGTTGCTAAATGAGCTTGGATGCTAATAGGCTCAGGTTGCTAACAGGGCCTGGATGCTAATAGGCTCTCGTTGCTAAATGAGCTTGGATGCTAATAGGCTGAGGTTGCTAAAGGGGCCTGGATGCTAATAGGCTCATTGCTAACAGGGCCTGGATGCTAATAGGCTCAGGTTGCTAACAGGGCCTGGATGCTAATAGGCTCAGGTTGCTAACAGGGCCTGGATGCTAATAGGCTCTGGTTGCTAACAGGGCCTGGATGCCCATAGGCTCAGGTTGCTAAAGGGGCCTGGATGCTAATAGGCTCATTGCTAACAGGGCCTGGATGCTAATAGGCTCAGGTTCCTAACAGGGCCTGGATGCTAATAGGCTCAGGTTGCTAACAGGCCATTTCTCAGGAAGTACACTTCGCTGCAGCAAACAGAAAGGGGCGGGGATGGACCACTGTCAGTCTCATACCTTATATGGAAATAGGACCATTTCATTCCGGAACTGACGGGGGCGCTAGTGACACTATTTCCTGTACCGACCGTTTCATAATAATTATAATAATAATAACGTATTTTATTTGACAACGCCTTTCAAAACATCCAAGAACACTTTCAACAGATCCCCAGTCCATCGCTGACTAAGAAAACAGATATAAACAAATACATGCTGGTGCTGAAGTTCAAATTATATATTTTGATGTTGTGAACGGTACTCTTAAAATAAATAAGTTAAAATCTAAAATATAATAGCCTTTGGCTTATTTTATAAGAACTAGATGGAAAAGAGGTTTGGTCTGTAAAACATTTAGTCGACAATTTTGGCCAACTTTAAGGCATTTATACTAGTGATTATGAAAATAGCGCCCCCTTCATTTCCGGAATGCAATAGTCCCATTTCCAAATAAGGTATGGGACTGACGGAAAGGTCCGTCCCCGCCCCTTTCTGTTTGCTGCAGCGAGGTCCTTCTCTTTCTCAGTCCAGGTAGCAACCAGCCTATGTTAGTAGCTCATTAAATCAGTGGTCCAAAGGCGCTGAATGGAGTTGGTTTTAATGGGGCTGATATCAAAGGGGTCCATCAGGGAATCTGTCTATAAAAACCACATCAGAAATGTCTTTTTGTTGTAATAAAACAATGAACCCTTGGTCAGTGTCTGTGCTTTTTCTGCCTAAAAGAATTTGGGACATTGGAGAAGCTTAAAATGAACTTTATTGATCTCACATTGGAGAAATGTATCTCTGCAGGTATGCCCTTGGGTCTGCTAATCTGCCTGCGGAGCAGTGTGGGGTTAAGGATCTTACTCAGGGACCCAGATTGTCAGTGTGTGGGAGTGGGACAGGATTCCAAGCACTTCACCCTAACCACTAGGCCACTCCCCTGAATGGAGAATGCATCGCTACCCCTGGCACGGGATGCAAAGCGTTCCACCATTAGAGCCAATTCTCCACATTAAGCTCAGAATGTAACCAGAGCTGCAGGTGTAGAAACAGACCGGGCCGTAGCCAGCATCCAACGTTGACCCCTCACAGCGGCGTACAGGAGGAGGTCTGTATGCGGCTGGGTGTCCCGCCCCTCATGGGTTTGGTTTAAACATCTGGCTCCTGGAACCAGATGTTTAAATCAGGTGTGTAAACGGTTTCTGAGGCCAGTTCCCCTCAGATGTCTTCATTATGGGTTGGGGGTCCGTTTGGAGCTACTGTGAGAGCACAGCTGGCCTGATCTTCTTCCTGTGGGTGCTGCCCTCTGAAGGTCTGGGGTGGTACTGGTCTGGACCAGAACCTTCCAGGTCTGTGAATAAAGGATCCCTCCCAGCTGGGTTTAAAGGTCTTTATTAAACAGGATAAAATCAGAGCTTAGATTCACACAGCATCAGGTTTACAGCCACTCTGCAGGGAAACGGGTCCATTCTGGAACCAGAGCAGTTCACAGGTCTTTGGATCAGCACCGGGTCAGCTCAGCCTGCTGTATAGTGGATGCCTGGAGGGGGCGTCCTCCTCCTCCTCTTTCGAGGCCACCTCAGATGTTTGAGGAGAGTTAAAGAAGCAGTCATCTCCACCTGCTGGACACACAGGAGAACTACATGAGCGGTACCAATGCTCCTTCAGAACACACGATAGATGAACAGTACCGGTGTTCTGTCAGACCAGCATATCCCAGCAGACCAGCATACCCATAGTCAATACGCACGCACAAGCCACAAAATTGATGTTTATCGCTTTAGTTTTTAATGAAAAATAGACTTTAAACTGCCTCAACAGGCGTTTATCCCTTTAGTCATCTGACAGAACAACGGCACCAAAAAGAGCTCTAACCCTGGACTGAGTAGGAATTTGACTAGGCCACTGAACACACTAATCAGCTTTGATGTAAAGCTGGGCTCTCCAGCTCCAGTCTTTAACCAAAGCATCCATTAGAGCTCTGGATGGGACAGGAGGGTGGAGCTTCACCTCCACCCTGAGGTCACTTTGGCCTCCTTCCATCTGGAGGAGGACGGTCTCCGCATGTCTGTCTCCTTAAACTGGTTACATGTTGGTTATCAGATCGTAGGGAAAACATCTTCCACTAAACCAGAAACGTATGAAGCTGACTGACTGCCAGCCGGGCTGCAGAGGGCGAACGGTCTGCTGCTCCACTTCCACCCTCTTCAGGTTCTGCATCAGAAAATATAATTGGTTCTGTTGGTTTAAAAAAGGTCTAAACCTTAAGTTCTGTGGAGGAATGACTCTGACCCATTGGTCCTGCCAGAATCTGCTTCTCTGTGCCTCAAAGTAATCAGATTACCTGAGTGGATGGCCTTCAACATGAGCGGTCAGTCCTCTGATTGGGGCCTCGGTTGCCCTGCATTAGAAACCATTGTCTTCAGCAGGAGAAGAAGCGATGAAAAATCGTGAACTGATTGAGATGACTTAGTTTCAGACATTTAACTTTTTCATTTTTGCATCCAGAGGTTTTATTAACCGCTAAATTAGAATGCTGAAACCTGTCGGCAGAATATGTTCGCTTTTATTATCCTGCTGCCTGCAGTTTGTAGCACAGACCTGAAAAACGCTAATATCTACTTCGAGCCGCCACCAACAGTAGAGGAAAATCCCCAAGAGGTGACCGGGCCTGAGGCAGCTGCTGCTGGGGATTCCCAGTGACAGCGCACCGCCGGTATGTGGGGGTCTGAGCGGCTCCCACAGAGAAATAATCTTTGAAGGCAGGATGGTAATCTGGATGAACTGACTGCACAGACCATGTTACACTGAGGTGAGGGCGGGGCGGCTGCCGAAGGCTACACCCTCCCGGTCCACAGCCCTCCCGGTCCACGGCGTAAGGCTACACCCTCCCTGTCCACAGCTGAGCTTCCAGCCTTGATGGTCTGAACCTGAGACCCACTCTCTGCTCTGTGTCCTGATGGATGTACGACATCAGCCTCTTCAAGGCATCTGACCTCTGTGCTGAAAGCAGAACCCTGCAGGGATGCTTACCTTGCCATGTACACACCAGCTCCGGGTCTCCAGAATCACTCTGAGGAACCAGAACCTCCTGAAACATAGACAAGAACATCTCAGAGGAAAGCAATTCAGGTTTGGAGCATTAAAAACTGAGCCAGCTGGTTCCATCAGTCCTGGCTCTATAAAGGTTCTTTGAAGCCTGTGGTTCCTGTGTATCTATGCAGACTGGGTGAGTCAGTGCTGAACTTTAGAGTTGGAGGCATTACTTCATGAGCAGAGTTCACCAGATATCAGCAGACCTGCATTATCTGATCTTAGCTTCGTAAACGTGACGGCACCGCCACGTCACACCAACCTGTCCTTTGATCAGGTGACCTGGCAGCCAGCGAAGCCACGCCGGGTCCAGATTTAATGCTCGGGGTGGAGCCATTTCCCAGCTGATAGCTGGATGCAGTGGATGTATACTGGGAACACTGATTTAAGCCCGGCGAGGCAAAGAGCTAAAGGAAAAACACCCAGTCTCCTCTGCAGAAACCCCAAGCAGAGCGCCCCGTGGGTTCCTTACCAGTCCAGTCCTGGAGTCATAGCAGCCACAGCAGGGGAGGCTGCGGAGGCCCACATAGCCGATGAGCGAGGACAGAACCAGGCCCAGAATGCAGGTCAGGATGATGGTGGCGTTGGCTCCCTTCACCATCCGATGGAGAACAAACGTCTGGTAAGAGACAGAACACAGATGGTCACAAACAAGCAAGAACCCCCGACAACCAGAGCAGCACGGCATGGCATCAGACGTCTGAAAGCAGTCACGCCATCGTCTTCCTCAGGGACCATTGGCCCTCATCTTCTGGACATGTTTCTGCTCCAGCATAGCTGATCTAGAACATAACTGCTCCTCAGCAGCATCAGGAGCTGCAGAAGCCCTTTAATCACTCAGGTGGCTGCAGTAAGGAGAGACCTGAGGAACAGGTGGGGTTCCTGAGGACCAGAGAGTCCCTGACGAACACAGGGGTAAAGGGGGGTACCTGAGGACAAGAGGGGTTCCTGAGGAACAGGGGGGTTCCTGCGGACCAGAGTCCCTGATGAACAGGGGAGGTTCCCGAGGATTGGGGGGTTCTTGAGGACAAGGGGGTTTCCTGAGGACCAGAGAGTCCCTGACGAACAGGGGGGCCATGAGGACCAGGGGGGATTCATGAGGACCAGAGAGTCCCTGAGGACAAGGGGGGTTCCCAAGGACTGGGGGGTTCTTGAGGACAAGGGGGGTTCCTGCGGACCATAGAGTCCTTGATGACCAGAGGGGGTTCAGGAGGACCAGAGAGTCCCTGAGGACCAGGGGGGGGGGCATGAGAACCGGGGGGGCTCCTGAGGAACAGAGTTGGGAGCCCCTCTGTTCAGGAGACTTGAGGAACATTTCAAGTCCCTCAGTTGGGCTAAGGAACTCCAGTGGTCTGGAGGGTGCCTGGTAGTTACCACTTTGGCACTGGGGTGGTGATGGAAGACGTCTTCATCCTCCTCCCCGTAGGTCAGGGTCAGAGAGCAGTAAGCCAAGATGAGGACTGCAGCGGCACAGGAAAGTCCAGCAGCTACCACCATCCCGCTGACCTGAGGACACATGGACACATTTTCAGAAGATTGCAGGACATGTTGTTGCAGAGACACAATGAAAGGCCCAGGTAAAGTTCCCCTGCTGAGGCTGCAGACCTTCCTGCCATTTCAACGAGACATTTCTGTTTTCAGGATGCTTAAACATGAACCCAGGAGGAGCCTGCAGAACACACTGCAGCTGATAAAGAACTACAGCCACCTTTAGGTCCAGTTTCCTCCATAAGGACATCAGATCTGTCCCGTCCCTAATGGGTGTTGGGAAATCTACGGTTTGAAACGTAGACCTCCAACTGACTGAGGTCCAGAGCTGTAGACAGTGGCTGAATGCCCGCCCTAACCCCTGACCCCTCCATAAGGTACTACAGGGTGACACCAGTTTAGATGAGAGTCTGAACATCTAGTGGACAAAAAAGTAGTGGAAAATTTCCCACAATGCAGTGATCATCCATGGTCACTAGACGAGCAGATATAGCTCTGACTGCTTCCCTTGAGCTCTTCTTGCAAAGCATCATGGGATTTTTAGGGGGGGCAGAGAGAACAAAGATGGCGCAGGCACCGTGGGGTGACCAATGGGAGCATAGAGTAGTGGTCAGCTGTCTGAACAGTCCCTATAAAGTCCCCTGCTATTTATAGTGATGGAAGGTCAGGGGGTCAGGGTTTTAGGGGTCAGGGGGTTAGGGGTCGGGGGTCAGGGGGTTAGGGTTTTAAGGGTGAGGGTTTTAGGGGTCAGGGGATTAGGGGTCGGGGGTCAGGGTTTTAGGGTTCAGGGTTTAGAGGTCAGGGGGTTAGGGGTCAGGGTTTTAGGGGTCAGGGGGTTAGGGGTCAGGGTTTTAGGGTTCAGGGTTTTAGGGGTCAGGGGGTTAGGGGTCAGGGTTTTAGGGTTCAGGGTTTAGGGGTCAGGGGGTTAGGGTTTTAAGGGTCAGGGTTTTAGGGGTCAGGGGGTTAGGGCGGATGTTCAGACAGCCTCTACCCCAGTTTGCAGAGTTTGACCACAGATTGGAGCACAGACGCAGAACCATCAAAGGTTTTGTTAAAAAACAACAAATGGGTCCAAAGATTTTGAGAAAGATACACCAATCTTTGGAGTGATGAGGCCTCTCTAGTCAAAGGTGACAGCATCGGAGGAAACGCGTCCAGTGAAGAAGTCACTAACTCCTAACTTAATTATCTTCAGGGGATCATTTTCATCCACTGGACCTTCTTGTTGCCATGTTGCTGCTATGCTACGCCGCCCTCTCTGGGCATGGAGGGGCCAGGCTGGAGGTGGCCGCCACCTACCTGGATGGATGTGGCCCAGTTTGTAACCCAGAGACTAGAGGCCAACATAGAGACATGGCAGGGCTTCCCACCATGTTCCATCTTGAAGATCCCTCTGGTTCTTCACATCACGTTCTGTCTAAACTATCAAACATTGCTTTTTGCGCCGTTAACTACGAAAAGCTAAAGAAGAAGAATCCATAAAGCTCCCAGGAACCAATCCTGCTCTTGTGCCACTGCACCACAGAACAGCACTAGACTGGTTTAAATCTTATCTGATCAATTTCAGTTTGTTCATGTTAATGTGGAGTACCACAGGGATCAGTGCTAGGACCAATTCTCTTTACTTTATACATGCTCCCAATCGATACAATCATTAGACAGCATGGGATTAATTTCCACTGTTATGCTGATGATACCCAGCTATATCTGTCTATAAATCCAGATGAAGCTAATCCATTACATAGATTACAGGCATGACTGAAGACATAAAAACCTGGATGACTCTTAACTTTCTGCTTCTGAATGCAGACAAAACAGAAGTTATAGTCTTTGGACCAGAGTCTCTGAAAAAGAAGCTGATTAGTCAGTCACTTCATTTGGATGGGATTAAACTGATTTCAGATAATAAATAAAAAAATCTTGGTGTTGTTTTTGATCAGGACCTGTCATTTAAATCCCACATCAAAGAGGTTTCTAGAATTTCCTTCTTTCATCTGAGGAACATTGCTAAAATGAGAAATCTCCTGTCTAGGGGTGATGCTGAGAAACTAGTCCATGCATTTGTTACTTCAAGGCTGGACTATTGTAATTCTTTACTATCAGGAAGTCCACAAACTGTAGTTAAAAGCCTTCAGCTGATCCAAAATGCTGCGGCCAGAGTTCTAATGAAAATTAAAAAGAGAGATCATATCTCGCCTATCCTGGCTTCTCTTCATTGGCTTCCTGTTAAATCAAGAATAGAATTTAAAATCCTCCTTCTCACATATAAAGCCTTAAATGGCCAAGCTCCATCTGATATCAGAGATCTGATTGTTCCTTATGTTCCTAACAGAGCACTTCGCTCTCAATCTGCAGGTTTACTAGTGGTTCCTAGAATTTCTAAAAGTAGAATGGGAGGCAGATCTTTTAGTTATCAGGCTCCTCTCCTGTGGAACCAACTACCAGTTTTAGTCCGTGAGGCAGACACCCTGTCTACTTTTAAGGCTAGGCTTAAAACTTTCCTTTCTGATAAAGCTTATAGTTAGAGTGGCTCAGGTTATCCTGAGCTATCTCTATAGTTATGCTGCTATAGGCTTAGACTGCTGGAGGACATAGGGACCCCTTTTTCATCATTCTGCCTCATTCTATCTCTATTCTCCCACTCTGTAGAATCTGTTAGTTCAATCTCTAACGTTCTGCTCTCTCTGCTTTTTCTCATAGTAGCTTCATCTGGTCTGTTCCTGTTTGGTTGTGACTCCATCCTGGAGAGAAATATCAGCTGTGCTGCTGCCATCAACACCTTTGTTTCTAGATGTTGGAGCTTGGCCTGTTTTCCAGTGTAGCCCTGTTTCTCTGACTGTGACTAACTGGATGTGCTCTCTTCATCCTCTGACATAGGAGCTGGCTGCTTCTACTGCAGGTTGTAAAGTTCCTTGAGGTGATGTGTTTTAAATTATGCTATAGAAACAAACTGAACTGAATTATTGTGTTCTGACCAGATCCTTTTGGATCAGAACCCGGTACAGAAAACCCTACAGCTCACTAAGGGTTAATATCGTGCTGTTCTGGGCTTGGTGAGGACCACCAAGCCTGCATCTGAGCCCCCTGAACATCTTCATAAGATAGAAACTTACCAACACAGCATTTTTCCTCTGAGATGCAAACAGCGCCAGGACACCCGGGGAGGCCAGAACCTGCCAGGAAGAGGAAGAGGTTTGGATGAAACAGCCGGTCCCAGATAGAGCAGAACCCTGCAGGCCTGGAGCTCCAACAGAACCTGGACCTGGAGAATGAGGATAGATCAAGGAAGCAGGTCTGGTACCGTACAGGTCCGATGGTACCAGAACATCAGCAGAATTTGATCTACTGTTTAAACTGGGAAATCCACCATCATCATCATCATCATCATCATCCTATGAAAGAGCTGCTCTTCATCCAAACCTCAGATTCAGCATCTAGAACTCTAATATCTATCAGGTCAAAGCAGAGCAGCTGACTGGTTTTAATGGAAAAACAAACATGGGCCCAGTAGAACCAGTGCGCGGCTGGTACTGACCAGTGCTCCCCATAGCGGCATCCTGCTGCTGCTCAGCGGGGTGTTCTTGCGGAAAACCGCGTCCATGAAGCCGCAGACCACGCAGAGCCCCGCGCAGGCGATCTGGAGGACGCCCAGAACCAGAACCGCTCTCTGGTTGAAGATGAAGTACCGGTACCGGTCCATTGTCCGCCTGGAAGTCCGCTGCTGGGTCTGAAGCGGCTCTGAGGGGAAAGTTCTGGTTCTGGGTGGTTTCCAGTGTCTAACATCAAAGAACCGAGCGGTTCCGGTTGCAGCGGAGGGTTCGGTGACTTTCTGTGTCTGACCAGGAGGCAGGAAGTTAGTTTATCCATTAACCTGCTGACCAGGTGGGAGGGGAGGCCCCGCCCACAGGACCAGGTGGGAGGCCCCGCCCACAGGCTGTTGTTCAGAAGCAACAGGTGGCGTAGGGTCAGCTTCAGCTGATTTCTGGGGTCAGACTGGGACCTTCAGAGGGGGACTGGTTCTGCTCCGCACCGAACCAGAACCAGCTCAGATCCTCCTCCTCTTCTCTGTCCATGGAGGAGACCAGCAGCTTCACTGGTTCTTTCTGAAAACCTGGAAGCTGAGCAGGTCCCAGCATTTAGGACAGTATGCTGGTGCAGATCCTCAGTCATCCAGGTCACACTGGACACTGGACTTTGGACCAAACCTCCAGACCCGATCTGAGCTGAGTGGCATCTGCAGTTCAGTGCAGTGAGGAATGCTCTGATCTTTATATTGGAGAAAGCAAACAACCTCTCCACAGACTCATGGCCCAACACAGAAGAGCGCCCTCCTCTGGACCAGACTCTGCTGTACATCTACACCTTATGGACAAAGGACATTCTTTGGAGGACCAGAATGTTCACATTTTGGACAAAGAAGACAGGTGGTTTGAGAGAAGCGTGAAGGAAGCCATTTATGTTTAGAAGGAAAAAACATCTGTTTCTATTTGCATGTTTTCTAAACTAAAACAAGGCTTAGTTGGGCTGCTGGATAAAACCTGGAACTCAACACTATTTCTGACATTTTGAATTGAAAAAGCTTCCTGGATGGAAGAGAAACGTCTTCAAACTGGGAAACAAAGTCCAGTGGATTGTTTTAAATTTTTTTTTTTTTTTTTTAGCATTTAGGACTAAATGTTTTCCTCACTGTGATAGGATCCAGTTTACCAGTCTGTCTGTGCTTTCCTAAGGTGGTAAAGATGCTTCACTTCAGACCAGGTCACTTTAGGGGGTGTGGATCATTAAAGCCGTATTGGATGACCTTAAGCTAAATTAATTACACAGCAAATCAATAAGAGGCTTTCACTAGGCCACTTTCTTTTCTCTCTCACTCTTTAGAAGCCAGAGCTTCCTAACCTGATGATGGAAACCCTCCAGGATGATCTGGTGGAGAAAAGAACCCCTGAAGCAGCATCAGACCATCACACTCCCACCACCATGCTCTGAATGAAAGACGTTTCCACAGATCCTGGAGGTCTTCTATGATTTGGCTGAACTTTGAGAGACTGTTGCCATGGAGACGGTGTCCGTTTCGCATCACTGGATCCTGAACTCTGGTCCTCACTGAGGCAGCGTTAGAGGTTTGGGTTCTTCCCAGATTTGTTTAGGTGTCAAAGTATAGTTCATCTTTTGATTCCTTCATTACTGGTCACTTTATGTCAGTAGAGTTCAATAACATCATCAATGACCCCCCACCATGGACTGTTCCCCCCGCTGCCCTCTGGGAAGATGCTTCAAAGCATTCAACACAGGTTCTGGAACAGCTTCTTCCCCACCACCATCAGACTGATGAACTGCTGAGAAAACTCATAATTATATCAGACCCTGCATCACACTGACTATATCAATGTGTTTTTTTGCACCTCCCATTGTTTACATTTGATCACTGCTGCACTTTAAATAATCAAAATGTCATGAGAGCTGTACAAAACGAAATGTTTTGTACACACTGTGTCTGGGATTAATGGGAGACAAGAAACCAAATAGCAGAACGAGGTGTTCAGTAAAAAAGAAGCATTAGAACCGGTTCAGGCTAGTTTATTTTCATGTAGCAGAAGATCCATTTTATTTCTACAGTCCTTAATTTCAGAAATATTCAGGTAACGTTCAATAAATGTCTAGGTCATCTGTAACATGTTCATAGGGAAGCAGAGCTGCTGAGAGTTCAGCTGTAGCTCCGCCCCTCGGTATGTAAACTGAAGGAACGACGTGGAAACAAGCAGCACCTCCTTGGTTCCTGGCATGGTTCTCCTGTCGCTCAGGTTGACATGGATTGCAGTGGGGGGGCGTCTTCACTGACTCCCAGCAGCTGCTGTCTCTGCTGGAAAAGCTCCAGCTCTTCTTTGTACCAGTCAGGAGCCTCAGGGCCATTTTTCCCCGTCGGCTCGTGATCGTAACCGTAGGCAACTGTGAGCTCCTCATCTTTCTGCACGGCCCTCAGCGTCCGGATGCACTTGATGGATCCAAAACGAGGATGGACAAACCTGGGGGGAGACAAAGGAAGTGTTCAGTGCCCTATCCAAAACTCTTAAGCAAACGATCAAACTGAATCACTGCGACAGGAAGCAGCTGACCATCGGGAGGAAACGATCAAACTGAATCACTGCGGCAGGAAGCAGCTGACCATCGGGAGGAAACGATCAAACTGAATCACTGCGACAGGAAGCAGCTGACCATCGGGAGGAAACGATCAAACTGAATCACTGCGGCGCAGGAAGCAGCTGACCATCGGGAGGAAACGATCAAACTGAATCACTGCGACAGGAAGCAGCTGACCATCAGGAGGAAACAATCAAACTGAATCACTGCGGCGCAGGAAGCAGCTGACCATCGGGAGGAAACAATCAAACTGAATCACTGCGGCGCAGGAAGCAGCTGACCATCGGGAGGAAACAATCAAACTGAATCACTGCGGCGAAGGAAGCAGCTGACCATCGGGAGGAAACAATCAAACTGAATCACTGCGGCGCAGGAAGCAGCTGACCATCGGGAGGAATCAAACTGAATCACTGCGGCGCAGGAAGCAGCTGACCATCGGGAGGAAACGATCAAACTGAATCACTGCGACGCAGGAAGCAGCTGACCATCGGGAGGAAACGATCAAACTGAATCACTGCGACAGGAAGCAGCTGACCATCGGGAGGAAACGATCAAACTGAATCACTGCGGCGCAGGAAGCAGCTGACTATCGGGAGGAAACGATCAAACTGAATCACTGCGACAGGAAGCAGCTGACCATCAGGAGGAAACCATCAAACTGAATCACTGCGACAGCAAGCAGCTGACCATCGGGAGGAAACAATCAAACTGAATCACTGCGACAGGAAGCAGCTGACCATCGGGAGGAAACGATCAAACAGAATCACTGCGACAGGAAGCAGCTGACCATCAGGAGGAAACAATCAAACTGAATCACTGCGGCGCAGGAAGCAGCTGACCATCGGGAGGAAACGATCAAACTGAATCACTGCGACAGGAAGCAGCTGACCATCAGGAGGAAACAATCAAACTGAATCACTGCGGCGCAGGAAGCAGCTGACCATCGGGAGGAAACAATCAAACTGAATCACTGCGACAGGAAGCAGCTGACCATCGGGAGGAAACGATCAAACTGAATCACTGCGGCAGGAAGCAGCTGACCATCGGGAGGAAACGATCAAACTGAATCACTGCGACAGGAAGCAGCTGACCATCGGGAGGAAACGATCAAACTGAATCACTGCGGCGCAGGAAGCAGCTGACCATCGGGAGGAAACGATCAAACTGAATCACTGCGACAGGAAGCAGCTGACCATCAGGAGGAAACAATCAAACTGAATCACTGCGGCGCAGGAAGCAGCTGACCATCGGGAGGAAACAATCAAACTGAATCACTGCGGCGCAGGAAGCAGCTGACCATCGGGAGGAAACAATCAAACTGAATCACTGCGGCGAAGGAAGCAGCTGACCATCGGGAGGAAACAATCAAACTGAATCACTGCGGCGCAGGAAGCAGCTGACCATCGGGAGGAATCAAACTGAATCACTGCGGCGCAGGAAGCAGCTGACCATCGGGAGGAAACGATCAAACTGAATCACTGCGACGCAGGAAGCAGCTGACCATCGGGAGGAAACGATCAAACTGAATCACTGCGACAGGAAGCAGCTGACCATCGGGAGGAAACGATCAAACTGAATCACTGCGGCGCAGGAAGCAGCTGACTATCGGGAGGAAACGATCAAACTGAATCACTGCGACAGGAAGCAGCTGACCATCAGGAGGAAACCATCAAACTGAATCACTGCGACAGCAAGCAGCTGACCATCGGGAGGAAACAATCAAACTGAATCACTGCGACAGGAAGCAGCTGACCATCGGGAGGAAACGATCAAACAGAATCACTGCGGCGAAGGAAGCAGCTGACCATCGGGAGGAAATGATCAAACTGAATCACTGCGGCGAAGGAAGCAGCTGACCATCGGGAGGAAACGATCAAACAGAATCACTGCGGCAGGAAGCAGCTGACCATCGGGAGGAAACGATCAAACTGAATCACTGCGGCAGGAAGCAGCTGACCATCGGGAGGAAACGATCAAACTGAATCACTGCGACAGGAAGCAGCTGACCATCGGGAGGAAACAATCAAACTGAATCACTGCGGCGAAGGAAGCAGCTGACCATCGGGAGGAAACAATCAAACTGAATCACTGCGGCGCAGGAAGCAGCTGACCATCGGGAGGAAACGATCAAACTGAATCACTGCGACAGGAAGCAGCTGACCATCGGGAGGAAACAATCAAACTGAATCACTGCGGCGAAGGAAGCAGCTGACCATCGGGAGGAAACGATCAAACAGAATCACTGCGGCGAAGGAAGCAGCTGACCATCGGGAGGAAACGATCAAACTGAATCACTGCGGCGAAGGAAGCAGCTGACCATCGGGAGGAAACGATCAAACAGAATCACTGCGGCAGGAAGCAGCTGACCATCGGGAGGAAACGATCAAACTGAATCACTGCGACAGGAAGCAGCTGACCATCGGGAGGAAACGATCAAACTGAATCACTGCGGCAGGAAGCAGCTGACCATCGGGAGGAAACGATCAAACAGAATCACTGCGACGCAGGAAGCAGCTGACCATCGGGAGGAAACGATCAAACTGAATCACTGCGGCGCAGGAAGCAGCTGACCATCGGGAGGAAATTATCAAACTGAATCACTGCGGCGCAGGAAGCAGCTGACCATCGGGAGGAAACGATCAAATTGAATCACTGCGGCAGGAAGCAGCTGACCATCGGGAGGAAACGATCAAACTGAATCACTGCGGCAGGAAGCAGCTTACCATCGGGAGGAAACGATCAAACTGAATTCAGAGCTCCATGGCGCCTGATGGTGAGGCTGCCACGGTGGGACCACCACTTCCTGCCAGCTGCTTTTTGTTAGGGGGGCTGAGAGTCAGACAGCGTTGAGCTCAGAGGGGAAGAGATGCACACACCAACATCTGATTATATGTTATTCATCTCTGGCAGATGGACGCATTTATTTAAGAGACAAATAGTTGAATTTGATTTAAAGTCATGGAGAGTTTTGGGCCATAAAACTCCTAACTAAACGATGTTCCAGAAACCGTGCGGCTCCTGGCCCGGTGCCACAGACCCCCCCGCGCTCTACTTACGGCTCATACTTGCAGTTGGGGGTGAAGGAGTGGTTGGCCTTGTGACCAAGGGAGGCGCAGTATCTGTCGGTCTGGTCAAACGGCCGCGGGACGTCGATCACAGTGTCGTCATCCAGAGAGATGGTGTTTCCATTCAGAGTCCAGTCTCTGCTGTCCACCTGAGGACAGGGAGACACTGGGAGGCTACTGGTTTACACAAAGCTGCAGCTCTGCTTAGTTTGAACCACAATGAACTTCATCTTTTTAACCAGTTCCGCCAACAGCCAAGTTAAAGTTAAAACTGGGAAATATTTATCAGTCAGTTAAAGGTCTGCATCCACCTAGGAGGATCTGGATTTCCATGGAGACAGTGTGTCCTACCTCAGAGTGTGTGATCCGAACGCCGTTATAGAAGGCCATGACGGTACCAGGCTGGGCATCGGCCTTGGCAAACAGCCCCTCCCCCGCTCCTTTAATCAGAGACTCAGCCACAAACACCCTGGAGGGACAGAACATGGAGCGCTCCGGTTAACTCCTGGTCGGGTTCTGGTTGGCTTCACAGAGAGGACCTACCACTGGCTCTCATACGGGTCCGGCAGCAGAGCGTGGGTGGCGATGCAGGTGGAGGTGGACTTGTCGTAGGAGTAGACCGGACCTTTAAGCGAGATAAAGTATTATCTGGTCTATTCACCCAACAGTGTGTTTGGTAATAGTTAACTGGGTCAAACAGAACCACAGAATCACTGCTGGAACCACAGATGAAGGTTCAGTGGTTTCTGCTCTCTTCTCTTTCACTAATCCAAATGTAGAAATCAGGCGGTTCAGCACCATGGAGGAAAACCAAACAGAACCTGGTCTGGCTGCAGCTCCAACAGCGATGCTTCTGGAACAGCTCAGGCCCCATCCACACGAAGCCGAACCCTGGCCTAAACGCACACATTTTTCACTAAACCAGCCTCTCATCCACACGAAGCCGGCGTTTCGGGGGTCTGTAAACGATCTTTTTTTTATTAAGCCTTCAGAGTGGGAAGATTTTGAAACGCCGTTTTCGCGTTTCCATCTTTAAGCTCTAACCACATTTTTTTTTTTTTACACGCATGCGTCATAGCGTCGCCTCTAAACACGCATGCGCGACACAGTATCACAACAACAATGGCGCCGTACTGTGTTGAATGGTTGCTGCTCATGCTACTCACCCTGCTGTCGGGCTTACAACAGAATCTTCTTCTTCTGGAATATCTCCAGGAAGAACAGAGCAATATCGACCACATAGTTCAGCACCTCAATTTGACTGAACCACGAAAATGGACCCGCAGGGCAACCATGTATAAATATTAGTGCGCATGCCCAACATTTCGTCGCTTATTTTTGCTTTGGCACCACAGTGCCACTTACAGGCCTGGCATACATTTTGCAGCGTTTTCATGCATTCGTGTGGACGATCACATTTATTTTACGTCTCCGTCTTTACGACAAACGTTCTGGAAAATATTAGCGTTTCGTGTTCGTTTTGACTTCGTGGGGACGGGGCCTCAGTCTCTTCCTGCCAGTTTAGAAACATTCATGTTCCTCTGCTCCACTGCTTTGATCTCCCTGTAGAGAAACGCAGTCCTGGCAGAGAAAACCCAACGACCCAAAGAACCGCTTCCTGCTTTACCTCTTGATCCCAGTTAGACTCTCTGACCGGTTTCAAGTGAGACCCACTGGATCCCAGTCAGACCCACCCAATCCCAGTGAGACCCTCTGACCGGTTCCCAGTGAGACCCTCTGACTGGTTACCAGTGGGACCCTCTGACCGGTTACCAGTCTGACCTGTTCCCAGTGAGACCCTCTGACCGGTTACCAGTGAGACCCTCTGGCCGGTTCCCAATGAGACCCTCTGGCCGGTTCCCAGTGAGACCCTCTGGCCGGTTCCCAATGAGACCCTCTGGCCGGTTCCCAATGAGACCCTCTGACTGGTTACCAGTGGGACCCTCTGACCGGTTACCAGTCTGACCGGTTACCAGTGAGACCCTCTGACCGGTTACCAGTGAGACCCTCTGACCGGTTCCCAGTGAGACCCTCTGACTGGTTACCAGTGAGACCCTCTGACCGGTTACCAGTGAGACCCTCTGACCGGTTCCCAGTGAGACCCTCTGACTGGTTACCAGTGGGACCCTCTGACCGGTTACCAGTCTGACCTGTTCCCAGTGAGACCCTCTGACCGGTTACCAGTGAGACCCTCTGGCCGGTTCCCAATGAGACCCTCTGGCCGGTTACCAGTGAGACCCTCTGGCCGGCTTCCCAATGAGACCCTCTGACCGGTTCCCAGCGAGACCCTCTGACTGGTTACCAGTGGGACCCTCTGACCGGTTACCAGTCTGACCTGTTCCCAGTGAGACCCTCTGACCGGTTACCAGTGAGACCCTCTGGCCGGTTCCCAATGAGACCCTCTGGCCGGTTACCAGTGAGACCCTCTGACCGGTTGCCAGTGAGACCCACTGGATCCCAGTGAGACCCTCTGACCGGTTACCAGTGGGACCCTCTGGCCGGTTACCAGTGGGACCCTCTGGCCGGTTACCAGTGGGACCCTCTGGCCGGTTCCCAGTGAGACCCTCTGGCCGGTTCCCAGTGAGACCCTCTGGCCAGTTCCCAGTGAGACCCTCTGACCGGTTACCAATGAGACCCTCTGACTAGTTCCCAGTGAAACCCTCTGACCGGTTACCAGTGAGACCCTCTGACCGGTTACCAGTGGGACCCTCTGACCGGTTACCAGTGGGACCCTCTGACCGGTTACCAGTGGGACCCTCTGACCGGTTACCTGTCTGACCGGTTCCCAGTGAGACCCTCTGACCGGTTACCAGTCTGACCGGTTACCAGTCTGACCGGTTACCAGTGGGACCCTCTGACCTGTTCCCAGTGAGACCCTCTGACCGGTTGCCAGTGAGAGCAACCGGATCCCAGTGAGAGCAACCGGATCCCAGTGAGAGCAACCGGATCCCAGTGAGAGCAACCGGATCCCAGATAGACTAACTGGTTCCCAGTCCTCCCCCAGTTGGCTAATGGAAGCTCTTACTGCTGGCTGTGATCTGGAAGCGGGTCCTCTGGTTCTGGTGGGAGGCCAGGCTGGCGAGTCGAGCCTCGATGATCTCTCCGTCTACAAAGCTTCCATAGAGCGCCGTGCGGCCATCTGGGTAGATGTAGGCAATGGCGTTCCCAGTCATCTCTCCTTCCTCGTTGACCTGCCCAAACACGCAGCCCCCGTCCTGACCACGGGGTTATCCACGGTCAACCTCTGCCATCTCTGACACACAGTCAGTGCGCTGGGTTCACTCACAGGGTAGTAGATCCAGCACTCCCCACAGCGGATGTTGTCCTTGTACTGCCCCTTGAAGACCAGGTGGCCTTCTCCATCTAGCTCCTGAGCCGGCCCGTTCAGCTCGCCGTCCACGTAGGTCCCATGGAGGACACCGCCATCTTCATGTGTATACACCCCCTGGCCCTGTAGACCGTCATCCACATAGAACCCTTCCAAGGTGCTGCAGGCGAGGCAGAGAGAAGGCTGCAGTGAGGGTCAGGCTCTTTTTAAATTTCTATTCATTCTATTTAAAAGGATGACAACATTAGAGTTGTAGGGAAGCGCCTGTTTCACCGGTTGCAGTTCCTAATTCTCCCGAGTGGTGCTCGACTTTACACGAGGGAATAAAGTGAATGTGATTGGTCGTTTATAAAGGGGGCGGGTTCACAAGCTTTTTGGTTGTGGCCTGTATGTCGGAAGCATTGTTACTACCCGATCCGTGCTGCGCAAGCCCCAACAGATATCCATCCAGGTGTCCATAAATAATGTAATTAAGGTTCTAAAACTACTTATTTCTCTCCTTAACTGACTAAAGTATGCTAATACATCAACACAGCATTCTTTAGTCAGTTAAGGAGCGAAATATGTAGTGACTTTTGTGAGACAATTTTGAAGCTATTTCCATTTTCTCCGTTAAACAGCTTCGCTGACGTCTTCATGGGACACGCTCAGAGCAGTAAATCTGATTAAACCATGTTAATCTGCATTTTAGTTGTTTCTTTTTTTTTAGATTATGCACTATATACCATAAGGTTAACCCGAAAGGAAAACATAAACCTCAAAATTACTAGATTTATGTTTAAATCCAAAGCTGATAAAGTTAGCTCCTGAAGTAGCGTAGTATCCCATTCCGGTGCAGATCAGGAACAGAGTGATAAACCAGAAAGGATTTTAATGCTTTTATTTTCTCAGGAAATACATTATTAACCCTTAACACATTATAGTTTAGGAAGTTTAATATTTTTGGAGATAGAAAAACGTCATTCAGGTTTTCTTAACAAAAAAAAAAAAATCGAGGGCAACCCGGATGGATATCTGGATCACGATGAGCTTATGGTATGGATCGTACTTCTGGGACGGAGAGGGTAGTGAAAAGCATCTTCCTCAATTAGTGCTAGTAGGTTGCCAATGGGAAATTCAATTGGGACCAAGTAGCACTAAACTGGTGATTGGTGAAATGACACTGTCAAGGAACGCTATGGACAGTGGAAACATGCAAGAGGAGGAGTCTGGGCGCTGCCAGTTCTGTTAGCTCTACGCCTGCTGAAGACACAGACGTCCATCCCCGTGAACACTGGGACGGAACTCAATGGGAAAGGAATGATTCTGATTTCAGATTTCAACAGTTGCGTATATTAGCTGCGACATATGAATCAAGATGCTATGACAAAAAAAATTCGATTGACAGAAGACTGTTGATATATGATTGGCCGAAATTAGTTTTTTTAGGCTCAGACGTATAACTAACTGGGCTGCAGAAGATAACAGAAAAAAAACACAGATTTTAAGACAGGATTTTTTTAAAAATAGAAATTTTGGGACAATATCATCTGATAAAGAGTACATTTATATTCATGTTTAAGCCAAATTGATTTGACATTTAAATATGATTTCCCTACGACTTTTAAGTCTGTTTTGAGAGACTAAATGGATCTTTTTTCTTAATTTCTTCCCCTTCAGTCTTTACCAGAATTAAAAATAGAAATCCTGAATTTCAGCTGATGAAGCCTCCATCCCCCCAGCTGTCGCCAGTTCCATTCAACCATGACATCAAGGTACCTAAAGCCCTCAGCTTGAGGAATAGACCACCTCCCAAAGGGCAGGGATAGACCACCTCCCAAAGGGCAGGGATAGACCACCTCCCAAAGGGCGGGGATAGACCACCTCCCAAAGGGCGGGGATAGACCGCCTCCCAAAGGGCGGGGATAGTCGGCCTCCCAAAGGACGGGGATAGTCCGCCTACCAAAGGACGGGGATAGTCGGCCTCCCGAAGGACGGGGATAGTCGGCCTCCCGAAGGACGGGGATAGTCCGCCTACCAAAGGACGGGGATAGGCCGCCTCCCAAAGGACGGGGATAGGCCGCCTCCCAAAGGACGGGGATAGGCCGCCTCCCAAAGGACGGGGATAGGCCGCCTCCCAAAGGACGGGGATAGGCCGCCTCCCAAAGGACGGGGATAGGCCGCCTCCCAAAGGACGGGGATAGGCCGCCTCCCAAAGGACGGGGATAGGCCGCCTCCCAAAGGACGGGGATAGGCCGCCTCCCAAAGGACGGGGATAGTTTGCCTCCCAAAGTACGGGGATAGTTTGCCTCCCAAAGTACGGGGATAGTTTGCCTCCCAAAGGACGGGGATAGTCTGCCTCCCAAAGGACGGGGATAGTCCGCCTCCCAAAGGACGGGGATAGTCCGCCTCCCAAAGGACGGGGATAGGCCGCCTCCCAAAGGACGGGGATAGGCCGCCTCCCAAAGGACGGGGATAGGCCGCCTCCCAAAGGACGGGGATAGGCCGCCTCCCAAAGGACGGGGATAGGCCGCCTCCCAAAAGACGGGGATAGTCAGCCTACCAAAGGACGGGGATAGGCCGCCTCCCAAAGGACGGGGATAGTCCGCCTCCCAAAGGACGGGGATAGTCCGCCTACCAAAGGACGGGGATAGTCCGCCTACCAAAGGACGGGGATAGTCCGCCTCCCAAAGGACGGGGATAGGCCGCCTCCCAAAGGACGGGGATAGGCCGCCTCCCAAAGGACGGGGATAGGCCGCCTCCCAAAGGACGGGGATAGGCCGCCTCCCAAAAGACGGGGATAGTCAGCCTACCAAAGGACGGGGATAGGCCGCCTCCCAAAGGACGGGGATAGGCCGCCTCCCAAAGGACGGGGATAGTCCGCCTCCCAAAGTACGGGGATAGTCCGCCTCCCAAAGTACGGGGATAGTCCGCCTCCCAAAGGACGGGGATAGTCCGCCTACCAAAGGACGGGGATAGTCCGCCTACCAAAGGACGGGGATAGTCCGCCTCCCAAAGGACGGGGATAGTCCGCCTCCCAAAGGACGGGGATAGTCCGCCTCCCAAAGGACGGGGATAGTCCGCCTACCAAAGGACGGGGATAGGCCACCTCCCAAAGGACGGGGATAGTCTGCCTCCCAAAGGACGGGGATAGTCCGCCTCCCAAAGTACGAGGATAGTTCGCCTCCCAAAGTACGAGGATAGTTCGCCTCCCAAAGGACGGGGACAGTCCAAAGGATGGGGACAGTTTGCCTTCCAAAGGACGGGGACAGCAGAGACATGGAGCGAGCGGCGCATTTCAGGAATAAATCCTGCAGGATGGTGAAGGAGAACAGGGGCCTTAGGATCAGCTGACTACCTGGGGTGGAAACAGGGAATCCTTTCAAACGCTCCAAGCTGCTCTAAAGAAGCAACAAGCATTCAGGCTATCTGATTCCACCTTAGTGGGGGGGTCAGCTTCAGGCGTCTGGATGTGCAGGTTGATACAGACTGGAAAAAGAAAAGTTCTGGTCAGCTTCAAAGTGTTTGTTTGATAAGGTATCAGTGTGGGTAACTTGTTCATGATTTGGATGGAGCAATTTGGACAGAAAAGGTCAACAAACCCACCGTCATTTAGACCAGGCAGGCAGCACTGTGAGGATCCTGGTCTTTGATTTCTCCAGATTCAGCCTGACTGACTTTAAGAGAAACTCCAGCAGACTCAGGTGGAGGCATCAACAACCACCTGGATCAAAGACTACCTGACAGACAGACCACAGGCTGTTAGACTGAAGGCTCAGCTGGCTGATCTAGCAGCACAGGAGCACCACAGGGGACGGTACTCTCTCCATTCCTTTTTCCTCTGTTCACCTCTGACTTCCAGGACCAGACTGAGTCCTGTCATCTGAAGAAATCTTGGGATGACTCTGCAGTCATTGGCAGCATCAAAGATGGAGCAGAAGCTGAGGACAGAGAGCTGGTGAAGTGCTTTGTGGCATGGTATGGAAACAATCATCTGATCCTGAAGGTCAACAAACCAAGGAGATGATTGGTTAACATCCTGGGAGAAGAAGTGGAGGAGGAGTAGAAATCCCTTGGTGTTCACCTGGACAACAACCTGGAGACACAACTGGGAAGCTGTCTCCATGAAGGGACAGAGCAGACTGGACTGAGCCAGTTAGAAAGGAATGATGAGAGACTGCACTGGAATAACTGAACCCTGACTGCAGTGGATTATATGTGGCACTGATTTGGAATAGAACATTTATTTCTGATTCAATTGGATTCGTTTAAGCTTGTTGGCTGGTAATTATGCTGTTAATGGATACCAGTGGTGAGGGAATTTGATTAGCTTTGCCTGGTTCTGCCGTGCTGCTGAACCAAGCTCTGCATCAAGCTCTGTGGTTCCTCACCTGTTTGGTATTCAAGCTGATTCTAATCTGGACTTTTAACAGGATCTCAGCTGCACCACTAACCAATCCACCTGACATCTCCTATTAAAGCAGAGCAGGCCTGAGTGGAAGCATGCTGGGAGCCTTAGGGTTGGTTAGAGCCTGGTAAAGGGGGTTGGGGGGGTTCGTGATCTGATGTATGGAAATGTTCTACTGACCGGTCCAAGTGTCCCTGTCAGACATTACCTTCCATCGAAGAAGAAAAACTTCCCCTTGCCGTTCTTCTCTCCATGGATGAAGTGTCCTTCGAAGCGATCACTGGAGGAGTACGTCACTGTGCAGAATCCATGAGGCTGACCGTCTTCATCCAACGGGCCTAAACACACAAATGGTTCTGGTGAATAGACTCTTCAATCTGAGCACATCCATCATCTGAGGTCTATCTCCACTGAGGTGTCCTCTGAAGGTCAGACCTGCAGAGTAAATGATTCATCTACGGCAAGAAGCTATCCTAACTAGGCTGAACTAGCCGTAGCATCCTTGGCAGCAGTAAAGACTGCTCATGTTTGAATCACTGGATGAATCCAGTCTTGTTCCTCTGCATAGAACCCCTTCAGTTTCATGGACCCAGTGACGGATTAAGTTATGGATGGACCTCCATCTGCAGTCATTGGGCTCCATTTCACAAACTCAGATTCAAATACTCAAGTCTAAATGGATCCAGCCTAAAGTCTAAATTAATCCAGTCTAAAGTCTAAATTGATCCAGCCTAAAGTCTAAATTGATCCAGCATAAAGTCTAAATGGATCCAGCCTAAAGTCTAAATTAATCCAGCATAAAGTCTAAATGGATCCAGCCTAAAGTCTAAATTGATCCAGCATAAAGTCTAAATGGATCCAGCCTAAATTGATCCAGCCTAAAGTCTAAATTGATCCAGCCTAAAGTCTAAATTGATCCAGCATAAAGTCTAAATGGATCCAGCCTTAAGTCTAAATTGATCCAGCATAAAGTCTAAATGGATCCAGTCTAAAGTCTAAATGGATCCAGTCTAAAGTCTAAATGGATCCAGCCTAAAGTCTAAATGGATCCAGTCTAAAGTCTAAATTGATCCAGCATAAAGTCTAAATGGATCCAGCCTAAAGTCTAAATTGATCCAGCATAAAGTCTAAATGGATCCAGTCTAAAGTCTAAATGGATCCAGTCTAAAGTCTAAATGGATCCAGTCTAAAGTCTAAATGGATCCAGCCTAAAGTCTAAATTGATCCAGCATAAAGTCTAAATGGATCCAGTCTAAAGTCTAAATGGATCCAGTCTAAAGTCTAAATGGATCCAGCCTAAAGTCTAAATTAATCCAGCCTAAAGTCTAAATTAATCCAGCCTAAAGTCTAAATGGATCAAGCCTAAAGTCTAAATTAATCCAGACTAAAGTCTAAATGGATCAAGCATAAAGTCTAAGTTAATCCAGCCTAAAGTCGGGAACTCTGAGTGTTTGGTTTCACAAAGGCTGCCATCAATTAGTTCAATCAACTTTAACTAGATCCATTAAGAGTTTAACAAGTACATAACAAGTGTGAAAATCCATTAGGCCTATCAGTGGAACACCGATTCATCGAGTCACCATGACAACAGGAATTTCCGACTTCACCCGACTGGAACTAGAGATTTTAATGCAGAAATAAAATAAATGGAGAAAGTGTTTAAAACAAACATCAGCAGAGCTGCAGCTGCAAAGGAAAGGAAAACAGTGTGGGGAGAATTAGTATATGTAGATTAGTGGTGATCATTGTATCTTTTTAGGTGAAATCGCCTGTCAGCAGTTGGAGATGGAGTCTAGAATTGTTGTTCTATCAGGGAGGACCTGTTCATCGTCTCATGGGTTCCTCCTCTTCCAGTAAATACTCAGTGTCTGTCTGACTGCAGGTGTTTTCTATGATGCTGTTATCAGCCATCCATGTTCTCTCCCTGATATAATCCAGCTGTGTTAAAGAAGTCTGTAGGCTGCTAATGAGGACGGATCAGGTCTGGATGTCTGGGACGGATTAGGAGGTGAAACGGTAGCGCTGAGAACTTTCAGAATAGAAAGGACATCTAGATGCGCTCTGATAATCCTCTTCCTAGAAATATTTCATTCTCTGTGAATTAATGCCCATCATTCTTTGATTGGATCCTGGTCTGAAGGACAGGCTGCCTGTTTTGAACACCTAATGTCTCTAACGGACCTACTGACTGATTTCCTGATTGTTCTCACAGAACTAAGACAGAACTCTGCTGATCAGGAACTAAAACGAGCCGATTGGCTGGAAGGAGGGCGGAGCCAGAGGGGACAGTTTATGGAGGAAAACCTGCTGCTGACCAGGTTAGCTCTGGCAGAAGATTGCCATGGTAACAGAAAGAGGATCTTCTGTAAACCTGCTGCTTTGAATATTGATTTAAAATCAGTTTATTTTCAGGTGATCTTTCAGATTAAAGCTGATCTGAAACAGGAAGTAAAACCGCGTGTAAGAAGCTGGATGTGGATCTCTCTACAGGTGAGCATCAACACTGACCAGGTGACAGGCCACTGCCTGCAGCGCCATCTGCTGGCAGTGCCCCAAATAACAGGATGAAAAACAGAAGAGTTCAATGTAGGTATTATCTAAAACAGATGGGAAGCAAAAAGAACAGAAACACATCAAAGATGCTCTCCGAAACTGTGGATATCCAAACTGGGCTTTTATCAAATCAGCAAGGAAATCCAAAAGACACGCAACAGAAGACAGCGATGGGAAAATTAAACGCAAAAACATCACAATCCCTTATGTTGCTGGAGTGTCTGAAAAGCTCAAGAGGATTTTCTCCAAACACAAGATCCCAGTACATTTCAAGCCAAACCAAACCCTTAAACAGAGGCTAGTGCACCCTAAAGATAAAACCCCCAGACCGAATATGAGCGGAGTGGTATATGCTGTTCAGTGCAGCGAGGAATGCTCTGATCTTTATATTGGCGAAACAAAACAACCTCTCCACAGACGCATGGCCCAACACAGAAGAGCGGCTGCCTCTGGACAAGACTCCGCAGTACACCTACACCTTATGGACAAAGGACATTCTTTTGAGGACCAGAATGTCCATATTCTGGATAAAGAAAATAGGTGGTTTGAGAGGGGCGTGAAGGAAGCCATCTATGTTAAGAGAGAAAAACCAACTTTAAACAGAGGTGGTGGACTCAGATTCCAGCTTCCAAAAACATACAATTCAATCATAGACATGATCCCTTCCAGATATCACCAAACCCCCCACCCCATCACAGAGGAACGAGGGACTCACCCGCCCCAGCCGGTGAACAATACCTCCTTAACGACCAACCCTTAACAATCATAGACAGGTTTCAGGTATTACAGGAGACAATCCCCCCCTTAATGGCAATCCCCCCTTTAACGACCGACCCCTAGAATCATAGACAGGTTCAGATATTACAGGCTAACGATGGAACTAACGACCCATTCATCGGTTACCATTGCATGTTTCCAAGCGATACAAGGCGTTGTCTGTATAAGACTCAAACTCACTGCGGATCCAGACATTTGAATTGAGAAAGCTTCCTGGAGAGGTGGCGAAACGTCTTCAAATCTTGAAAACCAAGTCCAGTGGATATTTTTTGAATTTTTACGGAATGACTATGACCTGGATGACTGAGAACCTTCATCAGCACAGTGACAATCTAACTGAATAATAGTGATCATCTAAGTGAATAATAGTGAGCACCTAACTGAATAATAGTGATCATCTAACTGAATAATAGTGACAATCTAACTGAATAATAGTGATAATCTAAGTGAATAATAGTGAGCACCTAACTGAATAATAGTGATCATCTAAGTGAATAATAGTGAGCACCTAACTGAATAATAGTGATCATCTAAGTGAATAATAGTGACAATCTAACTGAATAATAGTGATCATCTAAGTGAATAATAGTGAGCACCTAACTGAATAATAGTGATCATCTAAGTGAATAATAGTGAGCACCTAACTGAATAATAGTGATCATCTAACTGAATAATAGTGACAATCTAACTGAATAATAGTGATCATCTAACTGAATAATAGTGACAATCTAACTGAATAATAGTGATCATCTAACTGAATAATAGTGAGCATCTAACTGAATAATAGTGACAATCTAACTGAATAATAGTGAGCATCTAACTGAATAATAGTGACAATCTAACTGAATAATAGTGAGCATCTAACTGAATAATAGTGAGCATCTAACTGAATAATAGTGAGCATCTAACTGAATAATAGTGGAATAATGTGGAAATGTTGGGGCAGGTCATCCTGATTCAGCCTCAGTCAAAGTTCGGAGGTCTGGATAAGACCTTCAGCTGATCCAGATCCTCTGTGCACATGGTTCCTATCAGAACACGGTGGTTCCGGTGGACTGGGTCTGACTCAGCTCCTGACCCACCCGGCTGAACTAAGCAGGACCGAACCGATTCCACCCACGCCGCACCCAGCGACTCCTGGATCGGACTGCAGCTCCACTGCAGCCCCAGGCTCCGCCGGGGCCCAGCCCGCCTCATGGAGGCTCGGTTCGGACCCATTAAGCTGCCAGAGCGGAACCGAACCTGGTCCTCATCATCCTCACAGACACCGACATGCAGCGGCGGTACCGACCTTCCACCACCTCCTCCAGAACCTCCTCCTCATCGCTGTCCATGCTGCAGGCCCACAGGACCGGAGCTGCTGCCGCCACGAGGGAAGGGGGCGGGGCTACACGTGTGACTGAGCGTGAACTTTAACCCTTTGATCTCTGTCAGAGAGACCGCGCTTTGATTGGTCCAGAACCAGAGGGGTTCAGCTGGGAGAGATGGAGCAGAGGGTTGAGATGGTCTGGAGGAGCTTCTCCTCCATGGAGGGAGGAGAACATCTGCTCTTCTTTAGCTGCAGCTAGATGCATTTTAATGCCTTCAACATTGGAAGAAGATCAGGTTAGAGGTGCAAACATATGAGGAGAAGGAACTTCCATGATCCTGTTTGGATCAGAGGCTCCATCTCTGAGGTCTGACTGTGACAAACGGATAGAGAGTTTTAACCCCGGTGCTTTGAAAGGTGCTGTATTGGGAATATAATCTGAGATGAAGATGGAGGCTCTGGTGAGAGAAGGAGAGGGAGCTAAAGGCTGTGATTGAGAACTGAGACCAGAAGAAATTAAATCACTATATAGAGAGAGCTGGAAAAAGCTTTGAGGAACTTTAGGAGCACAAACACCAACTAGGCAGGTGTGGAATATGATGCATCACATGGCTGGGATTACCAATAAAACTGGGATTAGCAAAAGAACTGGGATTAGCAACAGAATAGTGATTAGCAACAGAACTGTGATTTGAAACAATGGGGATTAGCAATAGAACCTGGATTAGCAACAGAACTGGGATTAGCAATAGAACTGGGATTAGCAACAGAACTGGGATTAGCAACAGAACTGCGATTAGCAAAAAAGAAAAACTTGGATTAGTAATAGACCTGGGAATAGCAATTTAACTGGGTTAATGAATATAACAGGGGTTAGGAAAAAACTTGCATTAGCGATAGAACTGGGATTAGCAATAGAACTTGGATTAGCAAAAGAACTGGGATTAGCAACAGAACTGGGATTAACAACAGAAATGCGATTAGCAACAGAACAGGGATTATCAAAACAACTTGGATTAGCAATAGAATTTGGATTAGCAAAAAACTCGGACCAGCAACAGAACTGGGATTAGCAACAGAACAAGGATTAGCAACAGAATAGGGATTAGCAAAAAAAACTTGGATTCACAATAGAAGTGGGAATAGCAACAGAACTGGGATTAGGAAAATAACTTTGATTAGTTATAGAAATGGGATTAGCAAAAGAACTTGGATTAGCAATAGAACTGGATTTGGCAACGGACCTAGGAATAGCAACAGAACAGGGATTATCAAAAGAACTGGGATTAGCAACAGAATAGGGATTAGCAACAGAATAGGGGTTAGCAACAGAACAGGGATTAGCAACAGAATAGGGATTAGCAAAAGAACTGGGATTAGCAACAGAATAGGGGTTAGCAAAAGAACAGGGATTAGCAACAGAATAGGGGTTAGCAACAGAACAGGGATTAGCAACAGAATAGGGGTTAGCAACAGAACAGGGATTAGCAACAGAATAGGGGTTAGCAACAGAACAGGGATTAGCAACAGAATAGGGGTTAGCAAAAGAACTGGGATTAGCAATAGAACTGTTTAGAACTATTAGAGCTATTAATATAACTATTCTCTGGAGGGATGTGTTGGAATTACAGTTGATGGCAGGTTCAGGGAAGGAATGGGATTAAACTTTTAGACGTTCCTGGGAGTACTCTTTCAGGGAAATACTGGTTTCAGTAGCATATCATATATAGTACAAAAGCACGATTCCATTAAAAATAAAAATACAACAGACAATATAAAAAGAGTTTATATAGTAAAAAAACGGATATCCTCTAGATATAGAAAGAAAAAATATCTGCACATTTATTGAGTGCCAGAAGGTTTCAGGTTAAAGTGGCTCATTGGTGCTCTGGTCCACTTTAGGTTGATAACGGGATCCCTCAGGGCAGTGGCTTCAGTCCTTTCCTCTTTAAACTCTGGATTACACCTTGGCAGATCTTTATTTGCTAATGATGAACTTGTTGATGAAATGTAAAACATCTGTTTAGTTAGATAAGGTGCCAGATTGGGCTGATAGATGGGATTTAGAGGATCAGTTTTTAAAACTACTTTAGTGGTTCTGGGAAGGAAAAGGTGAGCAGCAGCTCACTCTGTATGGTGAACATGTAGAAAGCATCAAGTCATTTAAGATCCTTGGAAATATGATGGATGAGCCACTTGGACATAGAGATTCAGAAAATAGATAAAGAGATGAGCAGCTGTAATTAGTGACATTTGATGCGTTTTAAACTGGGAAGAGAGGAGTTTTCTGTGGCTCCCAGCTTATGCTGGATGGAAATAAAATGGCCACTATGGAAAGACATTAACATGCTAAATGTTGTCCTCCATACTCAGAATCTAGAAGGATTATTTTTAGGGCATTGACTGATCTGGAATGCAATTTCTTCACATTAAAAGTCATTTCAGGACATGGAGCTTCCCTAAAAGAGAGAAATACTTTGGTTGTTTTAAAAGAATGTGGATTATGTTGGGAAGTATATGAGTGTTATTTATATTTTATGACCTGAGGAGGGCAGCAGTGCACTAAATGTGCCCAGGAAGAAGAAGAAGGTTCTGATGGAGAATCCAGCCCATGTCCTGCAGGCGTGGGGTGGAGCAGAGCTGTACAGACACGTCTTCTCCTCTAATACTTTGGTAAAGCTGGCTGTGGAACATGGCTCCAGAAGCGCCGGTCCTCCTGGCTGCCGTGAGCCTTCTGTCTGCCTTCCATATGGGTGAGTTCCTGTACTGGTTCTGGTCTGTCCTGATGGACAGCCAAGGTCCATTTGGCAGTCCCTGTGGGCTGAATGCCTCCTCCTTTTCTGGGCGTTTTCTCCTTCTAGAAATGTTCTCTAGATGTGTTCAGCTCCGCTGCTGCTACGTTTGACCTTGCAGGTCTTCTAGAAGAAGGTGAGGAGTTCTGTCAGATGATCCAGAGCAGAACTTCTGCTGGTTTCTGTTTGGGCCTCCAGCCTCCCGTTGCTCTCAGTCTATAATAGTTTCCCTCTAACGTGGATTCATTCACTGGGCGTCACTGATAGGCCATATCTCTGGTTGGCTGCTGCCCACATGATGATGATGCCACCACTGTGTTTCCCTGTGCATACCGCCTCCATCGGCTGAGAGTGTTCAGGGTGTGAAACGTCTCCAAGCTTCTAACCTTTAGCTCTACATCTAACATCCACCTCCTCCTTCCTCTGACTCCCTCTAAAGCTGTGCTCTGTCTCCAGGGTACCTGGCCCGCAGAGTGGGATGGTCCAGGATGGCTCATAAAATCATGCCCCCTGCCGTGTCGGGTCCTCCGGAGTTTGAACGGACTTTTCGTGCTCAGTAAGTCTGCCGTCTGATATATTCTGTTTCCCTTTTTGGGATGCACTTTTTCAGAAACCTTTTCATTATGGCTTTCTAAAACCCTGCTGGCGTGGCGGAGGTCAGCCTGTCTAATAAAGAGGCAGTGAAGCAGATGATCCAGGTGAGGAGGAAGCAGTGGTTGTAGGAAGAGTGGCTGCAGCAGAGGATGCATTCGCATCTCTTTAGTTGACTTTTAGAGCGCCGTCACTGGCTTGTGACTTGTGATGTCGCTGTGAAAAAAACTTCCAAGTCAATGGCTCTTTTCAAATTTATGGGCTGCGTCCTCAGAAGTATCCTCATTGTCCTTGGATATCCCAGGATTCATTGCGAGACCAAGCAAACGGCTGCTCCGTTATCTGAAACGGTGCTTGGTGCAGAACAGTGGTGAATATTTATGAAGTTCAGTTTAATAAAACAACTCTGAATAGTTCCTTCTGAAATGAATGAAAATAGTTGTTTTAATGGTTATAGAGTCAGATATGTGGCGGTAATGTTTAATTTATCTAAAGGTTTTTATCTGTTACTGTGTAAATGAGTTTGGCTGGAATTTAAGGACAGATTCTAATATATCTGCAGGGTGGGGACTATAAATCTGATAGGATTTTATTTTTTATTGCTGTTTTGTACAATATGCTTAATTAAGTATTTTTTGTTGTTGAATATTAGAGATTTTGCAGATATATTTTTTATACACACATTGTTTAGATTTACTTTCTTTCTAGCCTAGAATAGAATAGAATACAATAGAAAATCTCTTTATTTAATTGTCCCACAATGGGCAAATTTACAGCACCTGTGTTGGTTCCTGACCGTCTTTGGATTATGTCCTCTGTTGCTTCCTAACAGTCAGTTTCTGTCCTCTGTTGGTTCCAGACCTGCCTCGGTTCATGAGCTTTGTCGGTGCTTGACCATCATTGGTTTCTGGGTTTTGTCGGTTCCTCGCCTCTGATGGTTCCTGACCTGTGTTTGTTCCTGACCTTCTTCACTTCCTGATCGGCATCAGTTCCTGAACTTTGTTCTTGACCTCCGTTGGTTCCTGACTATCGTTGGTTTCTGAGCTTGGTCCGATCCTGACCAACAGCTGCTGAACTGTCTCCTCTCAGTGACACTCTCTTTGTCTCTGTGAGATTATCTTATGACCACAAAAGTGGATTTTAACCCAAAAATAAAAAAAAGACAAAACTTTTTAATTTTTTAAAAACTTTAATCCCTGTGAACAAAGTCTAGTGGAGTTTTTCGCTAAGCCTGTCTGTATAAACAAGGCCATTTGTTTGTGACCTCTGAGGTTTGTAGAGGTCAATCGTTACCATGGAGACCAAGGGCCAGAACAGAAGGTTAGGGAGGAGGTGGCAGGTGCTGGACAGGCTGGAGCATCATGGATGTTCTTCATATGAAGGCGTTCCTCTCTGTGCTGGTTTGTTGTTTGATGCAGCTGTAGATGTTCCACCGGCAGCTTTGTGTGTTTGCAGTCAGAACTGTGTGGAGTTCTACCCCTTGTTCCTGGTCACACTCTGGACCTGCGGGATTTTCTTCAACGAGGCGGCAGCTGCAGGAACAGGTCTGCTCTATATGGTGGCCCGGCAGATCTACTTCAACGGCTACATCAAGTCCACCAGGAAAAGGTTCTCTGGCCTCCTTAGCCGTCCTGGAAGAACCAGCAACAGGTCAGATCCTGCTGATGAGTTCTGTCTGCTTGCAGGTTACCGGGCTTCTATCTGACCCTGGCCGCACTCTTCACGCTGTCCCTTCTGGCTCTGACTGGAGTGGCAGCCAGGATACTGGACCAGTACTTCCACATGAATGGAGGAGGACTGCAAAGCCTGCTGTGATGCCCGGTCCGGCCTGACTCTGCCGGGCCCGGTCTGACCCATCCCGGGTTCTCCTCGTGGATAAAGTGTTTGGGTATTAATGGTCATTCTAAGACGCTTCAGCGTTTCTCCAAACATCAGCTGAGGTGGCTGTAAATGTGCTCTAAAAATAAAAGTGGATGTTTTTGGCTCCCAGAGGCTCTGTGTGGATGTGAGGATGGGCTCCATACCGGGACATGTTGGTATCCAAGGAAACGAGGGAGCAGCCAAAATGGCTGAAAGATCAACAATGGTATTATATGTCTTTGGAAATCGGAAACAGAGAAGCTACGGCGATAATCAGAAAAAGAATGATGGAGAAACGTCACCATGTGAATAATTAATCCACTGATTGAAAAACTGAAAAAACTGACCAGATTAGGATTAAATGAAATACTCTGTTATCAGTAATGATGAATGTTTAGACTGAAACCGCAGAGAGTGCTGCTCATATAATACTGTAGGAAATACGAGGCTGAGAAAAATCAAAGATAAGGCAGGAAGCTTCATTAAAGCTGAAAAACGTAGAAATGTTAGAGGATTTTGGTGCTTTTGAAATAATTTCATTCATGATAGAAAGTCCTGCCATGGACCATGATTCCTGCTTCATACGCCGACACAGCAGGCAGTGGTATAAACAAAAACAAAGATAAACCTAAGCTAAGCTAGCTGACCCCCTAACCACTAACCCTTCACTATCTAGTGTCACTCTAATGTCCCATAGCTATGGTCCCACTTGTTGGACAGGGAGTATGGCAGGCCATGTTATCAAAAAATTGGCTTTACCACACTTACATTCAAGATATCTTGAATCGGTTTTTGACTAGACATAGTTAATATATCTGAATCTATATTTAGACTATAAAAAATCCTATTCTCAGATATCTCTAATTCAATCTGACTAGTCTGAATATCATCAGATATCACACTTTGTTCATTAATTAAATTCATTAAAAAATGTATCAAATTACCTTCTTATTCAAGATATCTCTAAGGTATTTTAAGATATCTTAAAGCAGGATTTGACTAGTGGGAAGTAAATTGCAGATATCTTGAAAGAAAATAATGATTTGGCAAATAAACGTTAGGTATGGCAGGCCCTTTTATCATAAAATCAACTTCCTCTGACTGTCCATAGTTACTTTACCATGTCAAAGAAAAAGTTTCGACTGGGAAAAAATACATTTCGACTACCCTGAATAATAATTGAAGATATCGGGTATTATGACTGCTGAAAATAACCATTCAAGGGATCTTCATTTACATTTTGGAAAGTCAAAATGCATTGTGAGATCTCTCAAATGACCTCACCTGATTCATTATTTAGAGTCACACATCCAGCATTACAATCAACATATGTCAAAGGTAACCACATTTGACATTTTTTGAAATAATGAAATAGCCCCCTACACTGAAAAAAATCTAAATCTAGATAAGTCATTTTTTCCTAAAATAAGTGCATTTGTTCTTGGATTGAGGAGCTAAAAGAGACATTTTGCCAATGGAACATGACAATTTACACTTAAAATAAGAAAACACAATTGCATTGCCTTATTTCAAGTGCATATTATCTAATTTTCTTATTTTAAGATTAAAAATACTCATTCCATTGGAAAACTACCTTACAGTGGGGCAAAAAAGTATTTAGTCAGCCACCAATAGTGCAGGTTCTCCCACTTAAAAAGATGAGAGAGGCCGGTAATTTTCATCATAGATATACCTCAACTATGAGAGACAAAATGAGAAAAAAAAATCCAGAAAATCACATTGTCTGATTTTTAAAGAATTTATTTGCAAAATATGGTGGAAAATAAGTATTTGGTCAATAACAAAAGTTCATCTCAATACTTTGGTATATACCCTTTGTTGGCAATGAGAGAGATCAAAGGTTTTCTGTAAGTCTTCACAAGGTTTTCACACACTGTTGCTGGTATTTTGGCCCATTCCTCCATGCAGATCTCCTCTAGAGCAGTGATGTTCTGGGGCTGTCGCTGGGCAACACGGACTTTCAACTCCCTCCAAAGATTTTCTATGTGGTTGAGATCTGGAGACTAGCTAGGCCACTCCAGGACCTTGAAATGCTTGTTACGAAGCCACTCCTTCGTTACCCGGGCGGTGTGTTTGGGATCATTGTCATGCTGAAAGACCCAGCCACGTTTCATCTTCAATGCCCTTGCTGATGGAAGGAGGTTTTCACTCAAAATTTGACGATACATGGCCCCATTCATTCTTTCCTTCACACGGATCAGTCGTCCTGGTCCCTTAGCAGAAAAACAGCCCCAAAGCATGATGTTTCCACCCCCATGCTTCACTGTAGGTATGGTGTTCTTTGGATGCAACTCAGCATTCTCTCTCCTCCAAACACGACGAGTAGAGTTTTTACCAAAAAGTTCTATTTTGGTTTCATCTGACCATATGATATTCTCCCAGTCATCGTCTGGATCATCCAAATGCTCTCTAGCAAACTTGAGACGGGCCTTGACATGTACTGGCTTAAGCAGGGGGACACGTCTGGCACTGCAGGATTTGAGTCCCTGGCGGCGTAGTGTGTTACTGATGGTAGCCTTTGTTACTTTGGTCCCTGCTCTCTGCAGGTCATTCACTATGTCCCCCCGTGTGGTTCTGGGATTTTTACTCACCGTTCTTGTGATCATTTTGACCCCACGGGGTGAGATCTTGCGTGGAGCCCCAGATCGAGGAAGATTATCAGTGGTCTTGTATGTTTTCCATTTTCTAATAATTGATCCCACAGTTGATTTCTTCACACCAAGCTGTTTACCTATTGCAGATTCAGACTTCCCAGCCTGGTGCAGGTCTATAATTTTGTTTTCGGGTGTCCTTTGACAGCTCTCTAGTTTTGGCCATGGTGGAGTTTAGAGTGTGACTGTTTGAGGTTGTGGACAGGTGTCTTTTATACTGATAACGGGTTCAAACAGGTGCCATTAATGAAGGTAACGAGTGGAGGACAGAGGAGCCTCTTACAGAAGAAGTTACAGGTCTGTGAGAGCCAGGAATCTTGCTTGTTTGTAACTGACCAAATACTTATTTTCCACCATATTTTGCAAATAAATTATTTAAAAATCAGATTTTCTGGATTTTTTTTTCTCATTTTGTATCCCTCATAGTTGAGGTATATCTATGATGAAAATTACCGGCCTCTCTCATCTTTTTGAGTGGGAGAATTTGCACTATTGGTGGCTGACTAAATACTTTTTTGCCCCACTGTATTTACCTACTCAAATTAAATGTAAATACACTTAATTTAAGAAACTTTTACTTATTTCTAGATCGTTTTTCCGGTGTAGTGCCGTCACTGAGCTATCCAAACAGTTGCCTGCAGAATTTTGGGCTTTAAAAATGCCAAAATACAGAAAGGACTCAGCAGGATGGGATCTATGGAGAACAACAACTTTGTGAACTCGAAGGCTGTTCCAGAAATATGCGGTGGATTTCTTCAGGGAAGTTGGTGAGCAGCCAGATATTCAAGCTCCGTGGCACACTGCGGCTAGTCTCACGGTCGACCCGATTCTGGAGCTCAGACTTCGGGCGCTCTCTGCTGCTCCCTCTTCTGACCGGCGGCGGTTCTTTTAGGGACCATCAACACATTTTTTAATCAAACATTCTGAAGAAATAAAAATAAATTCCTTGTCTTGTGGCCAACTGAAACAAAACCAATGGTAAATCTCTCTACTAGATGATATAAATGAGGCACATCTTTTTCATTGAAGTCTTTTTTATGTCTTTAATTATTTTTAGTATTTTTCTTCAATAGCTTCTATGTTATGTGAATCACTGACTCAAAATCAATGGGAACTTGCTGATGAAGATTCTCAGTCATCCAGGTCAGAGTCATTCAAAAAAAAGGAAAAACAAACCACTGGACTTTTTTTTCCCATGTTTGAAGACGTTTCTCTTCCATCCAGGAAACTTTTTCAATTCAAAATGTCAGACATAGCGTTGAGTTCCAGGTTTTATCCAGCAGCCCAACAAAGCCTTGTTTTAGTTCAGAAAACATGCAAATAGAAACAGACGAACGAGTCCACCCCTTAGGAATTGGATTCATTTTGGGTTCTTTGTTAGCCTGCAATGCTAGATACTGCTCTATCCCTCTGAAAGGGGGGCTGTTAAGGTCAATTGTTGGCTTGGCTGCCAAGGAGAGATGTTTTGTCCCCTACATCAGGGAGGGGGTTTGAAACGATAGCGGGAAGGAATGAACTCTATAGCTGCATTGTAGCGTTGCATTGTGCTGTCAAAAAACTACAATCCAACACCTGGAGGGTGGGTTGCTGATCTGTCTCCATGGTTTCCAGGACTTTCTGGGTCACTGAACTGGATCCCTGTGAGCTGCTGATGTTGATGAAGGAACTCAGCCAAACAAAGGTGGATCGGGAACAGCCTGAGGAAATGAAACCAGACACTTGGTGTGATATTCTAAACAGTTTATTAACGCAAATCTACAGCCCCACTTCAAACTGGATCTGACTGGTTCTTTTGGGGGAAACCATGCGGTCCACATTCAGCCAGCTATAAGCTCCTCATCCACACCAAACATCAGGAAGATCTCTGAAGCTCCTCCATCTCTGGCCCGTAGAAGAGAATCCTGTAGTTAAAATCCTGGTCCAGCAGAGGGCGCCATGCGCCTGAGGAGAGGATCTTCTGAACTCTTCAGAATTTAATGTAAGCCTGACAGACAGAAGAAGAAGCTTTAATCATATCATCTTCACATTTCCATTCGACCACATCATAGGTCCACAACCAGCCGCCTTCTAACCCATGGCCCTAAAACCCCTGACCCTAAAACCCCTGACCCTAAAACCCCATAACCCTAAAACCCCATAACCCTAAAACCCCTGCCCTTAAAACCCCTGCCCCTAAAACCCCATAACCCTAAAACCCCTGCCCCTAAAACCCCATAACCCTAAAACCCCTGCCCCTAAAACCCCTGCCCTTAAAACCCCTGCCCTTAAAACCCCTGCCCCTAAAACCCCATAACCCTAAAACCCCAGACCCTAAAACCCCATAACCCTAAAACCCCATAACCCTAAAACCCCTGCCCCTAAAACCCCTGACCCTAAAAGCCCTGACCCTAAAAGCCCTGGCCCTAAAACCCCATAACCCTAAAACCCCTGCCCCTAAAACCCCATAACCCTAAAACCCCAGACCCTAAAACCCCATAACCCTAAAACCCCTGCCCCTAAAACCCCTGCCCTTAAAACCCCTGCCCCTAAAACCCCTAACCCTTAAAACCACTGCCCCTAAAACCCCATAACCCTAAAACCCCATAACCCTAAAACCCCATAACCCTAAAACCCCTGCCCCTAAAACCCCATAACCCTAAAACCCCAGACCCTAAAACCCCATAACCCTAAACCCCTGCCCCTAAAACCCCTGACCCTAAAAGCCCTGACCCTAAAAGCCCTGGCCCTAAAACCCCATAACCCTCAAACCCCTGCCCCTAAAACCCCATAACCCTAAAACCCCAGACCCTAAAACCCCAGACCCTAAAACCCCATAACCCTAAAACCCCTGCCCCTAAAACCCCTAACCCTTAAAACCCCTCACCCTAACCCTAAGTCTGAACATGACTACCTCACCATGGCAGATAGCTACTGATCCTAAAGGTAGTTGAGTTAATTTCTGACTCTAAAACCTTTAAAATACCTTAATCTAATTACCTTTTTATCATGTCATTGAAATCCATGCCTAACCATTAAATATTTATAATTTTGAACACCTGATGCGGACTTTATCATGGAATCTAACCAGTGTCAGTGGACTTAATACCTTACCAGGATTACCCTTTTCTTAACCTAAAGTCAGTGGACTAAAAGATAATCCAAGGTTGACAAACCAAATGTTAAACTTTAATATTTTATCTTTTGAAAGGAAGATAACTACTGATCCTAAAGGCAGTTTACTTAATTCTTGACTCCCTATAAAATCTCTATACACCGTATCTTACATTTCAATAAAGGGTTTATCAACAACACTAAAGTTTTGAAATCTTTACCTTTAAATAATACATTCATACCAATATTAGCCTCAAAAATGAAGTTCTAAGAAACGTTTCCCTCTACCTACCTCTCTTCCCTTGGTTTACATCTGCAGGGAGTGGAGGAGGCGGAGTTTACATGCCAGAACGGCGGGGGTCAACTTTTAGCCCATTCCAGGGCGGTCTACCCTGACTCTGCTTCCTCCATTGATCTAAAATAATATTTATATGATTATCTTCAATTTTTCTTAAACCTCTAAAAGACCTAGCGTATTATTACCCTTATACTCCATTTAGAAACTCATAGTGCTTATCAACTTACCAGGACAGCTAGCTGCTAACCCTAATATTAATGGGATCCGTACCCAAACCTAATCTTTTAGTAATACTCATAGTATTTATACTATGAGTATTTATATATAAAGATAAACCAAGATTAGTAAAGGCAGTTGACTCAATTCCTTTAAATCTAACCCAATTGACTGAATCCCTAACTCCAATATGTCAGTGTCCTTAATGCGTTACCACGATTCCTCTTTACTTAACCTTAAATCAGTGGACTAAACAGATAACCCAAGGTGATATTAAGCTGTGATATCTAACCCTTTGTGATGAAGTCTTAACTTGACTACCTTACCACCACAAATTACTACTGATCTTAAAGACAGCTGAATTAATTCCTGACTCTAATTCCTTTAAACCTCTTAATTTATCTTTTTATCACCTTACAAGGTAGTCACCCAGCCTTAAACCCTAACCATTTAAAATTGAAAAACTCAACAGACCTTAAAGGCACACTATGCAACATTTTTCAGTTAATTAATGTGTTCCATAACGTTATGGATGATTAAATGAGTCATTTCAGGTTGAACAAAGGTATTCTCGGCCGCCCTGGTGGTCTGTGGGGGAAATACTGCACTTGCAACTGCAGGAGCACCGACCCGCACCCACAGGCTCAGAAGTCTCACGAGAGTCAGTCTTGCTTTACGGCGAGAACTGCTACACCCCCAGTTAAAAGCATTCTCGTTGCTAGCACAGTGGCAATCTTTGTGCAGTTATGCTACGTTCACGCAGCAAAAGCAGCAAAATCGCGTCTGCTGCTTCATTTTTACTGCTTGTACCAGTTAGTTCTGACGCGCGGCTGAAGCAGCTTTGCTGCTCTGCCTGTGCGGTGCAAAAGTGTGTCTGAGGCGCGTTGGGCGGAGCTTCACTATCCTTTCTCTGCCTTGCAGCTATATTTGCTGTGATCAGTGGGAATAAAGTAGTTTTAATATGTGTTTAAGTGAGAAAATACACCTGAAAACGTAATCAGTGCAGTCAGTTCATTCAGATTATTATCCTGCCTTCAATATTTTTTCTGTCGGAGCCGCTCAGACCCCCACATACCAGCGGTGCGCAGACAGAAGGGATCCCTTCATCAGCAGCGGTTCACCGCGGCAGCTGGTAGGTGTTTTTCATCTAAATAATCCAAACTGCAGGCAGCAGGATAATAAAAGCGAATATATTCTGCCGGCAGATTTCTGCATTTTAAGTTAATTTAGGCGTCAATAAACTGTTTAAGAGGAGAGATCATAGCCTCTGATCATCAGCGCTGTGTCTCTCTCCCTGCGTCAGATGATTAAACGCGCACTGCTTCAGCTGCTCAGACGCGCTGCGCCTGCTGCTCAAAACGCGCCGTGGGACCTTTTGCTGCGCCTTGACGCGCGTCAACCATTGACTTTGCATGTAAACTCGCTGCTTCTGTCGCGCCAGCTGCGGTGTGAACGCAGCATTAGTCATTCGTTGCGTTCGCCTGTCTGCTAAGCTCAAAACAACCGCGCCTGGCTTGACGGAGAAACCAGGAGAACAGCTGAGCATTTTTACGACAGTGCACTTTTACTTTCGCCCTCTGGGGGGAGCCTCGCTGGAAAATCAACACCGGTTGCATAGTGTACCTTTAATCACTAATCATAACTTGATTGAATTAAACCAAAAATACTCTTCATTTTAATTCTATAATCCTAAAACTTAACCAATATACCCTTATCTGATCTTCAGTTTTATAATATGAATACTTGTTTGGCTGTGGATCTGAGAGATACCAACAAACGCGGCCGGCCCGTGCAATGCCTTTGATCCTCCAGCCAGCTGCCCTAGTCGTCGGACTGGGTGTGTATGTGTGTGGGTGGGTGGGGGTGGCGGGTCATCGAGAGTGTGTCTAACGCCTACCCCTAACCGTAGCATGCATGCAGCAACAGAGAGGGAAAACAGGAAGAACCTCCAGTAGAAGCAGAACCAGCCTGCTGAGACCGATGGAGCTGAACCAATAGCGGAACATAGAAGCACAGGGAACTTCTAGAAAGAGAAGTTTAGTGTCTGCATCTGGGAGAGAAACGCTGAACTCTAAGGAGAGACTGGCTGAGCTTTACTGGGACGGACTGGACCAACTGGATCATCCAGAGCAGGACTGGTCCAACAGAACCAGCAGCATTTTATAGTTAGAAAGAAAAGCTCTTTAGACTAAACAGTTTCCAAATGACAATTATTGACATCATCATTTTAAACATACTTTACATTATTTAATGGGACATTTAATATAAACACTTGACACCATTTAACATAAATGCTGAATCTACTGCTTACATGGAATGTTGATTTATTTTAGTCACATTTATTGTTATTATTTCATTCATGGAATAATTTGGCCCTCAGATTTTCTAAGCAGCCGAAGTGTTTCAGCCTAACTGAGCTGCTCCACCTGTGAAATCTAGCAGCTAAAACCGGAGAACCTCCACCTCTCTGACGGTGTTTCTCCCACTGCAGCAGTGAAAAGGAAACATGAGGCAGATTCAGCTAAAATGTCATGGCCAGAGCTCTCCATGATGAGCTTCTGGTGCAGCGTGATGATGACAAAAAGGAGCTTCTTAAAGCTGCTTAGTTTGTTGCAGAAAACAAAATGGCTAAAGCTAATTCTGCATATATATGGACTGATCTGAGGTAAGAATATATGAAGCTATATGAAGTTTATTTTTTATCTGCAAGGTTTTGGACCTTCCAAATCTGTTCTTCCTTTAACCAAACAGCTCAGGCAGGAAAAGATGAACCAGGGAAAGGTCAGCAGCAGACACAACAGCTAGGAGGACAAAAGGTGGGAAATGAAAGGGACATTAATCTGAGTTACGATTAGCACAAGAGAAGACCCCTCCCCGATAGGAGAGAGCCAACGTGATCAGAGGCAGGAGCAGCACTGACCTCACTGAGAAGAGCCCAGACGTCTGAGTCGGACCGGACCACCAGGCGCAGAGCTGTGATTGGCTGCAGAGCTTTCTTGATCTCCCCTTCAGCCACTCCATTGGTAAATTCCCCTGAAACAAACACAGCCTGATCACTGTCTGTGGTGTGTTTACACAGTTACCATGGCAACACAGCTTTTCTTTGGACATAGCTGATGACTTCTGTCTACAAACCCTTCAGACAAACACTGCTCAGCCAGTGCTCAGCCGGGTCATGAGGCGGACCAGCTCGGTGTTTCTGAAGACGTTTCCTCGCCCATCCAGGAGGCTTTACTCTGGGATAAAGCCCTGAAGTCTTTAAGCAGCATGGAAACGATCTTCCTGAGCACATCACAAGTCAGATGCTAATGACAGACCCAGTCATTCTCCCAGCTGTTGGAGCCTTTTTTTGTGGAGGGGGTCTGATGGAATTTCTTGCTGGAAATGCTTGGAAGCTAAAAACCTCAACCCTCCCTCTCTGCTCCTCTATGATCTTTTTCTCTTTCACCAACATGGCTTCATTCACCCCTCCTTCAAACCATCCCTCCTCTCTGTCCAACATCTGAACATCTTGGTCTTCAAAGGTGTGTCTTTGTTCCTGAGATCCTGCTGGATCTCACCCAGATCTATCGGCTCATGGAGGATAGACCTCCATGCTGCTTTAATACGTCAGCTCTCCAACCATGTGTTGATTTAGAGTGAGCTGACAGAAAGACAAAGACTCGTGAAAAGGTGAGCCAAAGTCCGACTGCCTCCTATCAAGCCTGTTGTGTGACTGATAAGGATGTTTTTTAAACCAGGTTGGTAGCACATTTTGCCATAATCACGTTTTATCATTAAATGTCCACTTCCTGTCAGCCTCATCATGGCAGCCAAATTATTCAAAGGTGAGACTGAGGGCCAGCCCAGGGGCCCGCTACTAGGGAGCAAAGACTCCTCTAGAACAGCAGGAGTCCGAGGGCCAGGCCAGGGGCCCGCTACTAGGGAGCAGAGACTCCTCTAGAACCTGAAGAACAGCAGGAGACTGAGGGCCAGCCCAGGGGCCCGCTATGAGGGAGCAGAGACTCCTCTAGAACCTGAAGAACAGCAGGAGACCGAGGGCCAGGCCAGGGGCCCGCTACTAGGGCGCAGAGACTCCTCTATAACCTGGAGAACAGCAAGAGACTGAGGGCCAGCCCAGGGGCCCGCTACTAGGGAGCAGAGACTCCTCTAGAACCTGAAGAACAGCAGGAGACTGAGGGCCAGGCCAGGGGCCCGCTACTAGGGAGCAGAGACTCCTCTAGAACCTGAAGAACAGCAGGAGACTGAGGGCCAGGCCAGGGGCCCGCTACAAGGGAGCAGAGACTCCTCTAGAACCTGAAGAACAGCAGGAGACTGAGGGCCAGGCCAGGGGCCCGCTACTAGGGAGCAGAGACTCCTCTAGAACCTGAAGAACAGCAGGAGACTGAGGGCCAGCCCAGGGGCCCGCTACTAGGGAGCAGAGACTCCTCTAGAACCTGAAGAACAGCAGGAGACTGAGGGCCAGCCCAGGGGCCCGCTACTAGGGAGCAGAGACTCCTCTAGAACCTGAAGAACAGCAGGAGACCGAGGGCCAGGCCAGGGGCCCGCTACTAGGGCGCAGAGACTCCTCTATAACCTGGAGAACAGCAAGAGACTGAGGGCCAGCCCAGGGGCCCGCTACTAGGGAGCAGAGACTCCTCTAGAACCTGAAGAACAGCAGGAGACTGAGGGCCAGCCCAGGGGCCCGCTATGAGGGAGCAGAGACTCCTCTATAACCTGGAGAACAGCAAGAGACTGAGGGCCAGCCCAGGGGCCCGCTACTAGGGAGCAGAGACTCCTCTAGAACCTGAAGAACAGCAGGAGACTGAGGGCCAGCCCAGGGGCCCGCTATGAGGGAGCAGAGACTCCTCTAGAACCTGAAGAACAGCAGGAGACCGAGGGCCAGGCCAGGGGCCCGCTACTAGGGCGCAGAGACTCCTCTATAACCTGGAGAACAGCAAGAGACTGAGGGCCAGCCCAGGGGCCCGCTACTAGGGAGCAGAGACTCCTCTAGAACCTGAAGAACAGCAGGAGACTGAGGGCCAGGCCAGGGGCCCGCTACAAGGGAGCAGAGACTCCTCTAGAACCTGAAGAACAGCAGGAGACTGAGGGCCAGGCCAGGGGCCCGCTACAAGGGAGCAGAGACTCCTCTAGAACCTGAAGAACAGCAGGAGACTGAGGGCCAGGCCAGGGGCCCGCTACAAGGGAGCAGAGACTCCTCTAGAACCTGAAGAACAGCAGGAGACTGAGGGCCAGGCCAGGGGCCCGCTACAAGGGAGCAGAGACTCCTCTAGAACCTGAAGAACAGCAGGAGACTGAGGGCCAGGCCAGGGGCCCGCTACTAGGGAGCAAAGACTCCTCTAGAACCTGAAGAACAGCAGGAGTCCGAGGGCCAGGCCAGGGGCCCGCTACTAGGGAGCAGAGACTCCTCTAGAACCTGAAGAACAGCAGGAGACTGAGGGCCAGCCCAGGGGCCCGCTACTAGGGAGCAGAGACTCCTCTAGAACCTGAAGAACAGCAGGAGACTGAGGGCCAGCCCAGGGGCCCGCTACTAGGGAGCAGAGACTCCTCTAGAACCTGAAGAACAGCAGGAGACTGAGGGCCAGCCCAGGGGCCTGCTACTAGGGAGCAGAGACTCCTCTAGAACCTGAAGAACAGCAGGAGACTGAGGGCCAGGCCAGGGGCCCGCTATGAGGGAGCAGAGACTCCTCTAGAACCTGAAGAACAGCAGGAGACTGAGGGCCAGGCCAGGGGCCCGCTATGAGGGAGCAGAGACTCCTCTAGAACCTGAAGAACAGCAGGAGACCGAGGGCCAGGCCAGGGGCCCGCTACTAGGGCGCAGAGACTCCTCTATAACCTGGAGAACAGCAAGAGACTGAGGGCCAGCCCAGGGGCCCGCTACTAGGGAGCAGAGACTCCTCTAGAACCTGAAGAACAGCAGGAGACTGAGGGCCAGGCCAGGGGCCCGCTACTAGGGAGCAGAGACTCCTCTAGAACCTGAAGAACAGCAGGAGACTGAGGGCCAGGCCAGGGGCCCGCTACACGGGAGCAGAGACTCCTCTAGAACTTGAAGAACAGCAGGAGACTGAGGACCTGGCCAGGGGCCCGCTACAAGGGAGCAGAGACTCCTCTAGAACCTGAAGAACAGCAGGAGACTGAGGGCCAGGCCAGGGGCCCGCTACAAGGGAGCAGAGACTCCTCTAGAACCTGAAGAACAGCAGGAGACTGAGGGCCAGGCCAGGGGCCCGCTACTAGGGAGCAGAGACTCCTCTAGGACCTGGAGAACAGCAAGAGACTGAGGGCCAGACCAGGGCCCACTACTTGGAGCAGAGCAATAAGAGTCAGTTGATTCTGAGGCGATCAACATTTACTCACCGACCACGATGAATTCGCCATCGGACTGTTCGAGTTTGGGGGCGGAGCCACCGAGCGGCCAGTCTCCAGAGGGTTTCTAAAACAAACAAAAAAATTGAGAGGTGAAGGGTCACCACAGTTACCGTCAGCACAGCCAATGAAGCCTCGAACGCCTACAGTACTACTGCTCTCTAGAGGGAAACGAGCAAACAAACATGCCAGCGCCCGTAACATTTAGGACATTTGCGGAAAGTCAGGTGAAGAAGGCAGCCTTTGGTTAATTTATTTGACAGAGTCAGCTTTTGGGACATGGATACAACAAACAATAGTCTCATCAGGGATTCCAGTCGCAGGAAACGACGACAGACGTTGAGACGTGTATCCAGTGGAGCGTGTATCCAGAGAAGCGTGTAGCCAGTGGAGCGTGTAGCCAGTGGAGCGTGTAGCCAGTGGAGCGTGTAGCCAGTGGAGCGTGTAGCCAGTGGAGCGTCTATCCAGTGGAGCGTCTATCCAGTGGAGCGTGTAGCCAGTGGAGCGTGTAGCCAGTAGAGAGTGTAGCCAGTAGAGAGTGTATCCAGTGGAGCGTGTAGCCAGTGGAGCGTGTAGCCAGTGGAGCGTGTAGCCAGTGGAGCGTGTAGCCAGTAGAGAGTGTATCCAGTGGAGCGTCTATCCAGTGGAGCGTGTAGCCAGTGGAGCGTGTAGCCAGTAGAGAGTGTAGCCAGTAGAGTGTAGCCAGTAGAGAGTGTATCCAGTGGAGCGTGTAGCCAGTGGAGCGTGTAGCCAGTGGAGCGTGTAGCCAGTGGAGCGTGTAGCCAGTGGAGCGTGTAGCCAGTGGAGCGTTTAGCCAGTGGAGCGTGTAGCCAGTGGAGCGTGTAGCCAGTGGAGCGTGTAGCCAGTAGAGAGTCTATCCAGTGGAGCGTGTAGCCAGTGGAGCGTGTAGCCAGTGGAGCGTGTCGCCAGTGGAGCGTGTCGCCAGTAGAGCGTGTAGCCAGTAGAGAGTGTATCCAGTGGAGCGTGTAGCCAGTTGAGCGTGTAGCCAGTGGAGCGTGTAGCCAGTGGAGCGTGTCGCCAGTGGAGAGTGTAGCCAGTAGAGAGTGTAGCCAGTAGAGAGTGTATCCAGTGGAGCGTGTAGCCAGTTGAGCGTGTAGCCAGTGGAGCGTGTAGCCAGTGGAGCGTGTAGCCAGTAGAGAGTGTAGCCAGTAGAGAGTGTAGCCAGTAGAGATTGTATCCAGTGGAGCGTGTAGCCAGTTGAGCGTGTAGCCAGTTGAGCGTGTAGCCAGTTGAGCGTGTATCCAGTGGAGCGTGTAGCCAGTGGAGCGTGTAGCCAGTGGAGCGTGTAGCCAGTGGAGCGTGTAGCCAGTAGAGAGTGTATCCAGTGGAGCGTGTAGCCAGTGGAGCGTGTAGCCAGTGGAGCGTGTAGCCAGTGGAGCGTCTATCCAGTGGAGCGTGTAGCCAGTGGAGCGTGTATCCAGTGGAGCGTGTAGCCAGTGGAGCGTGTAGCCAGTGGAGCGTGTAGCCAGTGGAGCGTGTAGCCAGTGGAGCGTGTAGCCAGTGGAGCGTCTATCCAGTGGAGCGTGTAGCCAGAGGAGCGTGTAGCCAGTGGAGCGTGTAGCCAGTGGAGCGTGTAGCCAGTGGAGCGTGTAGCCAGTAGAGAGTCTATCCAGTGGAGCGTGTAGCCAGTAGAGAGTCTATCCAGTGGAGCGTGTAGCCAGTTGAGCGTGTAGCCAGTTGAGCGTGTAGCCAGTTGAGCGTGTAGCCAGTGGAGCGTGTAGCCAGTGGAGCGTGTAGCCAGTGGAGCGTGTAGCCAGTAGAGAGTCTATCCAGTGGAGCGTGTAGCCAGTGGAGCGTGTATCCAGTGGAGCGTGTATCCAGTGGAGCGTGTCGCCAGTGGAGAGTGTAGCCAGTAGAGAGTGTAGCCAGTAGAGAGTGTATCCAGTGGAGCGTGTAGCCAGTTGAGCGTGTAGCCAGTGGAGCGTGTAGCCAGTGGAGCGTGTAGCCAGTAGAGAGTGTAGCCAGTAGAGAGTGTAGCCAGTAGAGATTGTATCCAGTGGAGCGTGTAGCCAGTTGAGCGTGTAGCCAGTTGAGCGTGTAGCCAGTTGAGCGTGTATCCAGTGGAGCGTGTAGCCAGTGGAGCGTGTAGCCAGTGGAGCGTGTAGCCAGTGGAGCGTGTAGCCAGTAGAGAGTGTATCCAGTGGAGCGTGTAGCCAGTGGAGCGTGTAGCCAGTGGAGCGTGTAGCCAGTGGAGCGTCTATCCAGTGGAGCGTGTAGCCAGTGGAGCGTGTATCCAGTGGAGCGTGTAGCCAGTGGAGCGTGTAGCCAGTGGAGCGTGTAGCCAGTGGAGCGTGTAGCCAGTGGAGCGTGTAGCCAGTGGAGCGTCTATCCAGTGGAGCGTGTAGCCAGAGGAGCGTGTAGCCAGTGGAGCGTGTAGCCAGTGGAGCGTGTAGCCAGTGGAGCGTGTAGCCAGTAGAGAGTCTATCCAGTGGAGCGTGTAGCCAGTAGAGAGTCTATCCAGTGGAGCGTGTAGCCAGTTGAGCGTGTAGCCAGTTGAGCGTGTAGCCAGTGGAGCGTGTAGCCAGTGGAGCGTGTAGCCAGTGGAGCGTGTAGCCAGTGGAGCGTGTAGCCAGTGGAGCGTGTAGCCAGTAGAGAGTCTATCCAGTGGAGCGTGTAGCCAGTGGAGCGTGTATCCAGTGGAGCGTGTATCCAGTGGAGCGTGTATCCAGTGGAGCGTGTATCCAGTGGAGCGTCTAGCCAGTGGAGCGTGTAGCCAGTGGAGCGTGTAGCCAGTAGAGAGTGTATCCAGTGGAGCGTCTATCCAGTGGAGCGTGTAGCCAGTGGAGCGTGTAGCCAGTGGAGCATGTAGCCAGTGGAGCGTGTAGCCAGTGGAGCGTGTAGCCAGTGGAGCGTGTAGCCAGTAGAGAGTGTATCCAGTAGAGAGTGTATCCAGTGGAGCGTGTAGCCAGTGGAGCGTGTAGCCAGTGGAGCGTTTAGCCAGTGGAGCGTTTAGCCAGTGGAGCGTTTAGCCAGTGGAGCGTTTAGCCAGTGGAGCGTGTAGCCAGTAGAGAGTCTATCCAGTGGAGCGTGTAGCCAGTGGAGCGTGTAGCCAGTGGAGCGTGTCGCCAGTGGAGCGTGTCGCCAGTGGAGCGTGTCGCCAGTGGAGCGTGTCGCCAGTGGAGCGTGTCGCCAGTGGAGCGTGTCGCCAGTGGAGCGTGTAGCCAGTAGAGAGTGTAGCCAGTAGAGAGTGTATCCAGTGGAGCGTGTAGCCAGTTGAGCGTGTAGCCAGTGGAGCGTGTAGCCAGTAGAGAGTGTAGCCAGTAGAGAGTGTATCCAGTGGAGCGTGTAGCCAGTTGAGCGTGTAGCCAGTTGAGCGTGTAGCCAGTGGAGCGTGTAGCCAGTGGAGCGTGTAGCCAGTGGAGCGTGTAGCCAGTGGAGCGTGTAGCCATTGGAGCGTGTAGCCAGTGGAGCGTGTAGCCAGTGGAGCGTGTAGCCAGTAGAGAGTGTAGCCAGTGGAGCGTGTAGCCAGTGGAGCGTGTAGCCAGTGGAGCGTCTATCCAGTGGAGCGTGTAGCCAGTGGAGCGTGTATCCAGTGGAGCGTGTATCCAGTGGAGCGTGTATCCAGTGGAGCGTGTATCCAGTGGAGCGTCTAGCCAGTGGAGCGTCTAGCCAGTGGAGCGTCTAGCCAGTGGAGCGTGTAGCCAGTGGAGCGTGTAGCCAGTGGAACGTGTAGCCAGTGGAACGTGTAGCCAGTGGAGCGTGTAGCCAGTGGAGCGTGTAGCCAGTGGAGCGTGTAGCCAGTGGAGCGTGTATCCAGTGGAGCGTCTATCCAGTGGAGCGTGTAGCCAGTGGAGCGTGTATCCAGTGGAGCGTCTATCCAGTGGAGCGTGTAGCCAGTGGAGCGTGTATCCAGTGGAGCGTCTATCCAGTGGAGCGTCTATCCAGTGGAGCGTGTAGCCAGTGGAGCGTGTAGCCAGTGGAGCGTGTAGCCAGTGGAGCATGTAGCCAGTGGGTGATGCCTGTATAAAAGGAAGGCTGGCAAAGCTGGACCTCCATCATGATACCAGGAGGTCCTGTTTTGAGGAGACATTGGGTTGGTCTGCGTAAAGAACAGCTTAAATAGTCATGGATGGATTTGAATGAAAAACTAGAAAAAGCTTTTTCAGAGAAACAGCTAAGTGGGAATGCTATTTTATGCTGAATGAAAAAAGAAAAATTTGCTAAAGAAACTGCATAAAGGAAAAAAAGCAGAAAATAGAATCTATGAAAATGTGATAGGAGGTCATCAAAAACTTCAAACAGCAGAAAACAGTAGAATCATCTGAAGATTTTGTAGGGTCGAATCATTTGCCAGAATAATGGCAGAAACACACTCATCTTAAAAAGGAAAACATTTAAAGTTGATTAACCAGAAGAAAAAGTCAAAAAGTATCCGTTTACCTGGAAGTTGATGGAAGTAAAGCATCTGCTTACGAGGTTAGCAGATGCTTTATTACAGTGGAAATGCTAGAGCCTCATTAAGAAATGTGCACTTAGTTGTTTTGTCAACAGGCCTTGGTAGTGTAATTTGAAGAAATTGGTTGAGTTCGGGTCATAGCTAAGAACCATACGGCACAATAAATGAGTGTGCAAAAGGAAGAGGCTTTTATTTTGTAGAGTTCCCATAGTCTTATTTTGAAAGTCTACCATCAATGTGTGTCAAGGGAAGGGTTATGTCCAGCAGTGATATAGAATCCATTTCTAAATATGAAATCACTGGTTTTTCATGTAATTGGGTGAACAGATGATGTATTAGTGTAAATGGGAGACTTTATTGTGAAATTTGCTCTGGGGGGTGTTTTGAAAATGTCTAAAAGAAACAAGCTGGTGGAGATTGGGTCATAATGCTGAGCCATTTGCATCAATTAATACATGAATAAAATATAGAGGCTTTTATTTTGTATGGTCCCTGGAGTCTTATTTTGAAAGTCTAGCAGGGTTGTGTGTTGAGAAAAGGGTCAGACCCAACATTGATACTTGAAGATTTTCCAATCGTTAAATCACTCTTTTCCCCTGTTATTAGGGCAGTAAATGAAGTGGCAATGGGAGGCTTTTATTTTGAACTTTTTTTGTGGGGTGTGTTTTGAAAAGCCCACTAGAGTCTAATTTTTAAAAAGTGGTTTAGTTTGGGTCACAATGTTGAGCCATAAGCTGGAAAAAAAAAATGAGTTTAATGTAGGGGTTTTTATTTTGTAGGGTGCCCGGAGTCTTATTTTGAAAGTCTATCATGGTTGCGTGTGAAGGGAAGGGTCATGGCCAGTAGTCATATAGTATACATTTCCAAATGTTAAATCAGTGCAGTCTCCCTCCATTAGATTAAAATGTGCTGTTTAAAGTAGCAGAGGTAAAATCCCTTTGAAGATCGGTTACCTTGACGACGCTTAACGAGCCTGTCAGTGACAGAGAGAAATGCGCAGCACTCTAGTTCCTTTGCTCTCAGGCTTTTTTGAATGGGAAAAACAGCTCCGAAAAAACGAGTGCTGAAGACAAACCGTAAATGGTATCTAAAAAATTCTTTCAGTCTAAGCGACAGCTATCCTTTGTCTCCGATTGGGGTAACTTTCATGGCTGTAGCTCATGGACAACCGTAATGGGAAGGAGAAATAAAAAGGTTTGTCACACCTGCTGGTCTCACTAAATAACATGCAGCTTTAAGGTAGAGCTGAGTTTTCACAAGCAAAACTTCCCCTCCAAACAAACGAGTGCTGAAGGCAAACCGTAAATGGCATCTACAAAATTCTTTTAGTCTAAGCGACAGCTATCCCTTGTCTCCAATTGGGGTAACTTTCATGTCTGTAGCTCTTTTACAACCCTAATGGGAAGACAAACATAATAGTTTGTCCCACTGGTTCGTCTCATTGGATTACATGCAGCACGTCAGCTTCACTGAACTTTCAGGTGCTAAAAAACCCCTCTGAACAAACGAGTGGTGAGCCAAAACCGTAAAAGGTTTTCAAAAAATTTTTTCACTGTTGGCGTCAGCCATCCTTCGGCTTTGACTGTGCCAGATTTCATGTTTCTATTAAAAACAATTTGGCAAAGGTGACGATGTAAAATTTGATTTTTTGTTTGAGGACATTTCTCAGAATCAACATTTTCCTATGCCCGAACAGGTCAGCTAAACAGCTAAACCATAAATGATATCGAAAAAATTATTTCAATGTGAGTGCTAGAAGGGTCTGAAGATGTTCTATATCAAGTTTCATGTTTGTACATGAAACAGTTTAGAAATGGCAGCGATATGAAAATATATGTCGTTTTGGATTTTCGGATGTGATTCTTGGAAAGTCTCTCATTGGATTTCTATTGGGGAAGTCTGGGCCAAACTGCAGGAAAACTGTAAATGCCACAAAAATGAGGGTTACATTTCCTGAATCCTGACAAAAATACCTATGTTTTGATGTACAATTTATTTCAATTGAGTGAAAACTGAGGGAGTGAGAAGAATTTGTTCGGAAAAACCAGAACATCTCAAAAGCTAAAGGGTAAAGCACCAACTCTAGCAGTTGAAGAATTCCGTCCATAGACTTCCATTATAAATCTGAAAATATTTAAAATTTATTTTCAAGTTTGAAGCTTCATTGAAGCAAAACTGTAAAAGTTAGCAAAAAGCTGAGTTAAACAGTAATAGCAGAAATATAAGGAAACATTTTAAAAGTTGAATTATGTTTCTAGCTGAAAGTATGCTGAAGTTGTTAAAGGTAAAAAATGGTGAAGTTTTAGCTGAACTTTGCTGAAATCTGAGAATTCTACATGCATTTCAATGGGACCAAAAAAACGCAGAAAAAGCTGAATATCCCGAAAACTACAAAAATATCTTTACCAAAAGATATAGCATAATTCTCCTGAACAAGATAAACGTTTTTAATACCAAAATTGTTTAAATCGGTTGAAAACTGCGTGACTAGTTAAAGTCAGAAAAATGAAAAGAGGAAAACAATAAGTGGGAATGCATAAGCTTTTCCCAACGGGGTGCTTCAGTCCGAGGAACAATCCATTAAATATTGGAGATGATCCGGATCACCAACTAGATCCAGGAATATTTTAGAGAGTCTGTGAATAAAGGTATCAACTGAAGGTGAACGTCTCAAAATGTCGTTGGGGGACTTTTCTAAATACAACATTAAAAACGTCTTCTTTTCCTTTTATCTTCTAACAAAACTGCAGAAGACAGATGCAGAATAAATAGGCGTACAGGAGTGATTTCAGCCATCAGGCAGTGAACTAGAACCAGCTCTAACAGCTGTGGTCCAGTTAGGCTGGGCTCTCCGACTCTATGCCCTGAGGTTCTGCTTCCTCTCCTTATTTATTGTCTCCTCTTCATCACTTATTCTAAAATCATCTTCAGCTGTTGGAGCAGTGGCCATACTTTTTGGTGCAATAGGGCTCTTTGAACAGTTTGGGTGGCTGAACCCTGACGTAGGTGAAGATCTACACCATGAGGGGTTTGCTAGCGTCTTCTGCAGCTCCTTGATGGGTCTGCCTTTAGTTGACTGCACACCAGCAAACTGGACGGTCCTGCCATGGAAGGCTGTGTCCTTTAGCCAAGCTGACAGGAGGCTCCTCCTCCTTCTAGTTCACTGAATCACCTTACATTCCAGATTATCCTTCATTTAACATGTTTTTTCACTTCTGAACACAGCTGCTAAAATGACTGAAGTCCTGATCAGATGCTCAGTGGATCAGGATAACGACAGCCGCTGGACTTGGACCCGTCTCAGGTCTCTTATCTTCCACTCAGGGATCTAGTGTCTGTCTAACTTTACTCAAAGGTCAGCCGTCACATAAACACTTTTCCCTTTCAGTGTGACACCAGCAAGCCCCCCCTCCCCGCTCCCAGGGCTGTGACAGCCGATAGCTGGTGGCAGCGGGTGTTTCCTGTTACATCAACACTCTGTCCTGAGACATCAACACCTGCAATGAGCAACCAGAGAACAAACATCCCCCCCCCAGGCTGGTTACTCACATTCCTGGGCAGCACCTCCACTGTGGTGTTGTAGAACTTATCCCCGATGGCCTTGCTGTTTCCACTGCGGAACAGGAACCTACAGGATACGCAGACCTGCATTAATCTACTAGGACTCAATATTCATTTTTATTTGCAGTTCAAATAAGGAACTCAGTTTGTAATTTCACTTTTTGGAAGCAGATGTTGTGGTGCACGAGAGGCAGACATAAGGACAGTTGATCTGTATAACAGAACTTCTCCATGAAACAGGATACAGAACTAGAGGGACTGAGGTGCAGTTGAATGAGCAGCAGACTCCTAACTTTAGGTAGTAAAGCCTGGTTTATACTCAGAAACCAGGCCGTCTGCTTGTGTCGCAGTTAATGCAGATATACCCCGCCCCTTCCACAGACACTCTCTTACACCTCTCAAAATTGGAGGTGACCACAGACAGGAGGTCTCTGATTGGTCAAATCTCCATCCGCTCCAAACTATGCATATTTCCTGTTTGGTTCCTTAGCGGCTTGTTTTGTTTGTCTGACCGCCATTGTTGAAAACGACTGGAGAAGATGGACCACCTAGAAGAGCGAGGTGCGCGAGAATGCTGGGAGCCTTTTTCCACCTGGATCCCCGCTCTTTTTGACCCTCATGTCCCTCCGTTGTCGCATAAACTTGCCCCCACTTTCTCACCGCTTTGGCTGTATCTAGACCCACAGCTAGTTCCTGATTGGCCTGAGTTGTGTTGTGGCGTGGAATAATATAGCGCAGACCATGCTTCAATATTGGGCAGAAATCAAAAATATCTGCGACAAGCACACTGCGACACACTGCTGCAGGAGGATAACCAGGTCTTTAGAAGGTCCAGTGGCGGTGCAGCAGGCGTGGGAGCATGCAAAGAGCTGCGGTCAGCTGTAAACCTTCAAACCCCACCAAGAGAAAAAATAACCAGAACCAAACTGGCAGAACTTCACCTGCATTGAAGAGAGGGGGAAAAAGCAACTAGCAACAGCCAAGGCTCTAAAATGACCAAATGTGGTCACAGCGTCCCGAACTAACCAAGCTAACCCTGCAAAGCTAGCAGAGACACGAAGCAGGTCGGAAAGCCGAGTCAGACTCTCTGGGTTTTGGCTTTAAAGACAGGCTACAGCCAGCTGAGAGGTGAGCAGAGGTAAACGTAGCCGGACTCACTGAAACCGAACTGCTAACCACGGTGATAGGATGAGCGGAAGTTACCAGAAGCAAGGTTTAAATTGGAGATTAAAGGAGAACCAGAGCAGTGGGAGCAGGAGAGCGCCGCAGATAAACAACGGCGCCGACTTTCAACTGGAGTATTTACATAGAAGATGATCAGGACTTCCTGATCGACTGCGCCACATCTACTATCATCATCTCTGTACAACAATCACCGCCATTATTACTGTCAATATCCGTCATCCATTCAGTTGCACTAACAACTAGATTACATCTTTTTATTTGATCTTTTTGGTTTGATTTAATTTAATTAATTTATAACTCATAAATTTTATTGTATATTTAGTCACCATCTGCTCCCATCTAAGTGTCAGTAATACCTGCTGGGACTAGATACTATCTGCAGTGTAAAATGAGATCAGAAAGTCTAGAATGTCTTAACTAGAGCAGGGAATATTAGCCCGAACCCGACGGGACCCGAGAGGTCCTGCCGGGTTTGGGCTGTACTTTTTATTATTTCATTCGGGCCGGGCCGGGCTCGGGCTTTAAACCGTTATATGCGCGGCAAATAAATTATCATGTGATAACGTTCGATCTATACGCGATGAATGCAAAATGGATGTTACAGAAGTGAAACGGAGATTAGCCCTTAATGCGCACAATTGAAAAATGTCGGGCTGCAAACGGGTCGGGCTCTACGGAGCTGTCAATTATAACGGGCCGGGCACGGGCCTGGTTCTTTCGGACTCGGGTCGGTTTCGGGCTGACTTTCAAGGCCCGTTTCATGCTCTAGTCTTAACTAATCTGGGGGAGATTTCTAGGTTTTGTGGACAGAGAGCATCTGAAAGACAGAACTTTGAATTAGAAGGATTGAGGCTGGAGTTCTTCCTGGCATTCACCAAAGAAGAGCAGGAAAGAGGCGTAGACAAGAGTCTGAGACGGGAGTGGATTTTCACTCCTGTTCCGTCCCACTCCCACAGAAAAAAATTGTGTCCTGTCCCGTCCCGTCCCGTCAGAGTAGAAATCTAAATCCTGTCCCGTCCCACTCCTGGTGAAATTACTCTCACTCCCATCCCGCTCCCATTCAGAATGACTCCCGCTCCTGCACCACTCCCATTCTTGTTGTCTTCAATAAGATTTCTGCCGATACATTGAATCTGAATTTCTATGAAGGGTCAGTTAAGTTCCTGTTTCTAACTGTAGTAACTGTTGGTCCCTCCATTGTTGTTTTTGAGCGCGGGTGAAAAACTCAGAGCGGAAGCCCTGTTGGTTTTTGGGTCATGTAGTTTTTTTGACACGCATTATAGTGTAGGCTTCAAGGAAAAAAACTACAAAATGGCGGTGCCAGTACTGAATTTTATTTTCTTTCTATTTTCTTTCGTTTTTTGGAATCGATCCTAGTTTTATTTTTAGTTACTATTGGTTTGCTCCTGCTCCTGTCTGCTCCCGTTAATGTTTAATCCTGTACCATCCCTATAACGTGATCGTTACTAATACTGACTCCCATCCCACGGGTCGCGGGAGTCCCACGGGACCCCCGCGACCCGTGGGATTCCCGAAAAAATGTTATTCTCTAGCATAGAATCAGTCCAGTGTGCAAACTTGTAAAAAAACCACGGGCTTCCACGGAGCGCTGCCCTGTGGGGTCTAAAGCCGTCTCAAAGGTTGGTTGGTACCAAGACCTGACCCTCTACCTGCATCCCAATCTACCCAGACCTTTCCCAGTCTACCCAGGCCTTTCCCAGTCTACCCAGGACTTTCCCAGTCTACCCAGGACTTTCCCAGTCTACCCAGGACTTTCCCGGCCTACCCAGGACTTTCCCGGCCTACCCAGGACTTTCCCAGTCTACCCAGGTCTTTCCCAGTCTACCCAGGCCTTTCCCAGTCTACCCAGGTCTTTCCCAGTCTACCCAGGTCTTCCCCAGTCTACCCAGGTCTTTCCCAGTCTACCCAGGCCTTTCCCAGTCTACCCAGGTCTTTCCCAGTCTACCCAGGCCTTTCCCAGTCTACCCAGGTCTTTCCCAGTCTACCCAGGCCTTTCCCAGTCTACCCAGGACTTTCCCGGCCTACCCAGGACTCTCCCAGTCTACCCAGGTCTTTCCCAGTCTACCCAGGACTCTCCCAGTCTACCCAGGTCTTTCCCAGTCTACCCAGGTCTTTCCCAGTCTACCCAGGCCTTTCCCAGTCTACCCAGGTCTTTCCCAGTCTACCCAGGTCTTTTCTCAAGATGTTTCTGAGATGTTGCATCTATGACAGTCAGAGGAACTGCAGCATACGGATTTATTTCCAAACTTTTACTAAAACATTACGGTAAAAAGCCAAACTGAACTCACCCAGATATTTGGATGGGCTGTGGGAAGCGGAAGAGGATGTAGTCCCCCTGGAGGGGTGTGATTGCCCACATGAAGTCTTCTCCGTCGTAAAGTCGCTGCAAACTGTGCTTCTGGTAGTACTTCATGCTGGTGCTGACCTCTGCAGGGGGGTTACTGTGAGCCTGGAACAAACTCTGCTTCCCAAAGTCCCTATCCTGCAGGGGAGCAGAAGAAGGCCGTTAGTACCAACAACAGGCTCCGTCTCCTTCAGGGAAACCAGGACTCCTGTCCTCATGGTGCTGCAGTAGAATAAACCATCTACCACATACTGTAGGGGGGTCAAGTCCTGACTGACAATCTTCACCAACATTTCACCTTAGAGATCTGTGCAAAGACACGCACCTCCAAACCCAAAACTGTAGAAATAAACTTTTTTTTTTTTTTAAACTGCTGCTTTGATAGAGGAAGTAAGATGGAAGAGGACCAAGGAAAGCAACGAGTCGCAGTGGATTAGCTAGTCCTTAGAGGGGTCTCCACAGAGTCCTGGAGGAGTTTAAATGGTGGGCTTTCCCTCAGGCATGGCCCCAAAGAGGACAGGGAATCTAAACAGACTGGGTTTTAAGAGATGTGGTTGGATGAGATCACAGGGAGGAGTTTTTCATGGTGGTTTTGTTCTGCGTTTCTTTTCAGCTGCTTTAGGCCTTATAGTCTGGGTGTGATCCACATCCTTAAGGTTCTACCTGCATCCACACCTCTGAGTTCCCCTCCATCCACAGACAGCAGAGCTCCAGCTCAGATGAAGCCCTTTGATGGAGCAAATCATTCCCAGATTATTAATTCAGCTCATCATTAGAGCCCAAACCTTCATGGCCCTGCTGACAGCAGAGAGAAAGCAACGCCCACTGCAGGAATTCATGGAATCTTGTAACTTTCAGTTTGTTTTCTTATCATAAGCTTCATTGCATTTAGTGTAATGATTCACCTGTTGCTCACCTGTGTAACCAGGACACAGGTCCAACTGGTTCTCCCGCTCTATCCACTCTTTGACAGAGTTACAGTATCAGCCCTGCAGGTTCAACCCACTGAGAATAAACATCTCAATCCAGCATAACCTACTAACCCTGAACACCATCCTTATCATCATCATCATCATCTAACAGCGCAAAATGGCGCCAACAGTCATCCATATTTTCTCCCTTTGTCTCCCTGTGGTCACCATTAACTCCAGTAAATAACAAACCAGGCGCCAAGTGAAGCTCCAGCTTTTCTGTTGAGCCAATCAGATTTGATCATTGAAACCTTCCATTGCAGCCGTTAGCTCCACTCGGACGCCATCTTCACTCACCTTCAAACGCTGCAGCTTTCCAGGCAAAGAGGAGTGAAGGCCGACGTGCTGGAACAGGGAGGGCTTATATCTCCGCTTCAGCATGGCCTTCTGAAGATCACAGTGTTTCTGCAGAGAAAAACCAGGTTAGCTTAGAGGACGCCAGCATCCCGTCATCAGCCATGACAGCAATGCCATCATGGACAGAACCAGGGTCCTGATCCACAAGGAGGAGGCTCCAAGGGTCAGATGGGGATCAGGTACAGCAGCAGATCATTGATGGTTCATGAAATGTGGGAAACGCTTTCTAGCCCTTCTCAGTCCATGTCAATGGGGTTAGGATCCAGAATTATTTCCCAGGTAATGCAGGAGCCTGTTGTTATGGAACGGTTATTTTATACTCAGCCATAAGAGGGAAGCACTGAGCACCATTAAAACGTTTGATCTGCAGCGGTTTCTCCATACGCAAGACTTACGTTATCTTTCTCTGGGTTGCAAACCTTCACCCACAGGATGTGATCCAGCAGCCAGTCGATGGGTTTATCCTTGTGAAACATGAGGAAGAATTCCACGATCATTGGAAGGTCGCTGGTCTTAAACATCTTCCCTGGAAAACACAAACACAGAAGCTAAGGCCCAAGCTATGCCTAGCCTAAGAGAGGAGATGTCCTGCAAACACACCAATGAATCCCAGCTGGGAGAACTCCAGGTAGAGCCATTCGCTGGGAGCTGCTTGGGTGGCAAACGCCTTCATGTCGCTATAGTAACCAGTCTTTGCAACCACATCGTCCTCCAGCTGGAAAACACACGAATGTTCAGAGTTATTAGAACTGAGAACCAGAGCATGACAGGGCATGAACTGATGAAGGCTGAGGAAAACATCAGAGTTCTATTCTCTGTCCTAAAGGGTTAATAAAATAATAAACACATTGGAAGAATAAAGCTGTACTGCAGATTTATCATTCAGAAAGGCCATTTCTCAACCTGTGTACTTGTGCTTTCTCATGTCCTCGTGAAATGTCATCAGCCTCAGCCCTAGTACTGTTCCAATTCACTAGAACAGCAGACAGAGAATTGACAATTTTTTTCAAGCTTCACCATATGGACCATTTACTGATTTAGTGCATAATTTAAAAAAAGTTCTGATGCCCGTCTGCAGCAGCCGGGGCTAACGTTAGCCCGTCTGCAGGACCCGGGGTTAACGTCAGTCGGTTTGCAGCAGCAGGAGCTAACGTCACTGCGTCTGCAGCAGCCGGGGCTAACATCACTGCGTCTGCAGCAGCTGTAACGTCACTGCGTCTGCAGCAGCCGGGGCTAACATCACTGCATCTGCAGCAGCTGTAACGTCACTGCGTCTGCAGCAGCCGGGGCTAAAATCACTGCATCTGCAGCAGCTGTAATGTCACTGCGTCTGCATCAGACGCTGCTAACATTAGCCGGTCTGCATCAGCCGGCCCTTCTGCAGTAGCTGGTGCTAACGTGTGTTTATCTGACTGTGTTCATCATTATTCCCCCATTAAATGAAAAAAAAAGTCATAATTTATTATTATCTAGACCAGGGGTCTTCAAAGTTTTCCAGGCCAAGGACCCCAAACTGATGGTGAGACGGAGAGGGGACCCACTAGTTATATATATTGGAGTAAATTGTGTTCTATCAAACTGGTCCTATAGTCACTCTATTACAGATGCAGTAATGTAACTAAAGTAATTTCTCCCTGGGATTATTAAAGTATTTCTGCTTCCTGGTTGATGGGACAGGTGTTGTGAATGAAACGGTGCCCGGCTTGAAAGAGCTCCTGTGTGTCTCTGAATGTGTGCATTGATGACTGAAAGACATCTTCTGCCTCCATTTATCTGTTTACTACAGTGTGTTGATTTCATGTTAATGTGGATTTAAACACATTTTAAGTAGTGGAAAAAAATTGAAGGGGGGAATATAAAAATCTAATCAACCAAAACTTTCGCGACTCCAATGCAGTAACTCTGTTGACCCACTAGGGGTCACGGACCCCCTGTGGAAGACCTCCGATCTAGAGACTATTAATGATTAGAACAGGAGGTTAAAGGGGAACATTGTTTTTTTTTTTTTCCCCATTGGGCCCTTGATTTTACGTTATTACATCATGTTCTACTCACCTATATGAGTTTTGTGTCATTTGGAGCCGTTCTGAAGATATTACGTTAGGTTATATCCAAGTGACGTCTTCCTATGGGCAACGAGTTGAAGGCAAAAACTAAACTATTCATCATTTATTCTTTATGGTACGCCAGCATTCAGAACATGTAGGCCAATCACTGTCCCACAGACATCTGCGGTTATATTTTTTAGATTTATTATTCTTAAAACAAAGCGGCTCGTGTATGACGTCATCCGTGTGCGCCGGCTACCATTCATTCATACTCACACCGCTTTGTTTTAAGAAAATACACTTGATATAACCGAACAGAATATCAGAACAGCTCCAAATGACACAAAACTCATATGGTTGAGTAGAACATGATGTAATAACGTAAAATCAAGGGCCCAATGTAAAAAAAAATAACTGCGTTCCCCTGTAAATGCTAGCTTTGAATGTGGTGATGTCATCTGTACGCTTTTAGTTTTCTGCTCTTTTCTTTAGATTAAATATTTTAATCTTTTTGCCATAATTCATGAGCAAAGCAGAAAACATCAGAACAAAGAAAAGACTTCAGCCGGCATTTGGAGGTTCACATGGAGGTGAGGAACCTTCAGAACCACCTCTATCTCCTAGTCTGTAATGGTTTTCAAACAGCTAGGATCAGATAATGAGGATACCAGGATGAGAGCGGCTCCAGGTGGCACCGATCTGCCATCATGGTAGTAGATTCTAGGGAGTGATTCATCTAAAGGAGCCAGTGTCAGGAAGGAGGGGTGGATTTACCTGAACATAGTAGCTTCCTTTGTCTTGTGCATAGAGCATCAGGAAGCTGTAGTCCAGGTTCTGCTTAGTTCGCCATCTGAAAAAAAAAGACAAGTCACTTGATACTGTTCCGGTGAGCCAGACTACAGGAGACGATCTGAGGCAGGAGGACCTGCCATATCACCCTGACCAGTGATAGGAGTAACGGCGTTGAAAGTAATGGCGTTACTAACGCCGCTACCTTTTTTTAGTAATGAGTAATCAAAATTATTACTCTTACTGTAACTATAAGCAGTTACAATTGCCGACACCCAGTTACTGCACGTTACTCAGGTCGCACAATTAACCTTTTTTCACGATAGGACTCGTGCGCACCTTGTCATGAGAGAGGGGAGGATGGAGAGTGAGGAGGACTCCAGCAGCAAAACAGCGCTTTCCAGATGGAAATACCGGTGTTACGTCGAGCTGCGTTTCCCTATCAGATACGGTTTCCCCTGCATCTCCGCACAGCGCGGCGGCACGATTCACTGCTCAAGCGACAGGATGCATGCTTGCTAAAGGCGCGTAACAGCCGCCCTGTGCTCGCGCCACAGGAGAACTACGGAGAGCGTGAACGATCATTAGACATCCCCAGTTATTAATTTCATACACTTGCAAAAGCAACGCAATAGTTACTTTTACTAGTAACTAGTTACTTTTATTGTAGAGTAACTCAGTTACTAACTCAATTACTAATCATGATAACCGTTCTAACTGTGCTAATGGTTTCAGCCATCCTGATGGTTCCAATCATGCTAACCGTTCTAACTGTGCTAATGGTTTAAGCCATCCTGATGGTTCCAATCATGCTAACCGTTCTAACTGTGCTAATGGTTTAAGCCATCCTGATGGTTCCAATCATGCTAACTGTTCTAACCGTGCTAATGGTTTTAGCATCCTGATGGTTCTAATCATGCTAACCATTCTAACCGTGCTAATGGTTTCAGCCATCCTGATGGTTCCAATCATGCTAACCATTCTAACCGTGCTAATGGTTTAAGCCATCCTGATGGTTCTAATCATGCTAATGGTTTAAGCCATCCTGATGGTTCTAATCATGCTAACCGTTCTAACCGTGCTAATGGTTTAAGCCATCCTGATGGTTCTAATCATGCTAACCGTTCTAACCGTGCTAATGGTTTAAGCCATCCTGATTGTTTTAATCATGCTAACCGTTCTAACCGTGCTAATGGTTTTAGCCATCCTGATGATTCTAATCATGCTAACCGTTCTAACCGTGCTAATGGTTTTAGCCATCCTGATGATTCCAATCATGCTAACCGTTCTAACCGTGCTAATGGTTTAAGCCATCCTGATGGTTCTAATCATGATAACCGTTCTAACCGTGCTAATGGTTTAAGCCATCCTGATGGTTCCAACAATGCTTACTGTTCTAACCGTGCTAATGGTTTTAGCCATCTGGATCATTCTAACAATGCTAACCGTTCTAACCATGCTAATGGTTTTAGCATCCTGATGGTTCTAATCATGCTAACTGTTCTAACCATGCTAATGGTTTTAGCATCATGATGGTTCTAATCAAGCTAACCATTCTAACCGTGCTAATGGTTTAAGCCATCCTGATGGTTCTAATCATGATAACCGTTCTAACCGCGCTAATGGTTTAAGCCATCCTGATGGTTCTAACAATGCTTACCGTTCTAACCGTGCTAATGGTTTTAGCCATCTGGATCATTCTAACAATGCTAACCGTTCTAACCATGCTAATGGTTTTAGCATCATGATGGTTCTAATCAAGCTAACCATTCTAACCGTGCTAAAGGTTTTAGCCATCTGGATCATTCTAATCAAGCTAACCATTCTAACCGTGCTAATGGTTTTAACCATCCGGATCGTTCTAATCAAGCTAACCATTTTAACCACGCTAAAAGTTGTAACACAGGAACACATCAACAGACTTTTTGATACCAAAACACTGCATTCCTTAAATCAATACTTTGGTATAACGGAGCTTGAGAAAAACAAACTGACCCATAAAATAAACTGGGAATATGTAGACTAGATATTATGTAGCGGTTCTAGAAAGAGAACCACTGTAGAAAGTTGGAGGACTGAAGGTGTTTGAACTGTGTACTGGAATAAGCTGGCGAAGGTGATAGAGCCAGTGACCTTAAAAATGTTGACCACATTTTCTGCCATTGAAATTAACTGTGCTGTTCGTCGCCACATCAGGAGTGGATGCTGATGAAGCGTGATTGCAGCTCTAGGACACCATTAGCTGGCTGCACACAAAGCACCTAGTGGCTTTTTATGAGGGTTACTTTAGTTACATTGAAAATGACAGAAACTTCTCAATTTTTAAATCAGCAGGTCACCTTTCCAACACGACAGCCAAACTGCATGCCAATGATGATGTCCATGATAAGACGGATGGAAGGAAGAAAGCGGACACTGTCCGGCCCAGCAAACAGCTGCTGTGCTGGGACGGACAGGCAGAGGTAGACCTGGAGGAAACACCTTCTCTGTTCTCATCTCCAAGCGTGCTGATGATGTCACCGCTGTCAGGACAGTACCCAGAAAGCCCTGGCTGAATCCTGAGGTGATGCCTCTGCTGAAAGCTATGGACGCCATGTTCTGGATGGGTGAGGCACTGTTTTCTCCAGTGACCTGGAGCACCAACACTTCCTGTCGGGTCAGGGAAGATAATCAGGATCTCCAATTCCCCAGAAAGCTGCAGAGAGCTGGACTGTGGAGCTCAGACCAGAGGAACTATCATCTCTGTGGTGAAGAGCATCCTCTGCAGAGGGAGGGAGCTCCACCCATCCTGCACACTCACTGTTCCAGCCTCTCACCTCAGGCAGGCAGCTGAGGTCAGACCAACAGTCTCCATACCCCAGGAATCATAAACAGTTTTCTGCCCCTGTACGGTAGAGCAGAGGATTTATGGAGCAGTGGCGCCCAGATGCATGTCTCTGTTCACGGTGACTTCTCTAAACGCTCTGCTGCAGATGTTTGCTCACAGCAGTTTGGTTTTCCTGGAGCGGGAATCTTTTCAAGAAGATGTTTGATTCTTACTTTACTCTCTCCTTGGAGTCTCCAAAGGTCTCTTTGAGGAGGTTGAAGTCGGGGTAGTAATGCTGCGAAGGGGAGACCACCTCCAGCAGGCCGGACTGCACTTCTTCAGGAAAACTAGCAGATGAGAGAACAGAACAACAGGAACATCAATCAAAGGCTTTCTCCTTATACCTAAGCTGAGAACATGATGTCAAGTCTTAACTTTGACTAGGCCATTCCACACACACCAATAGTCTGTGACTGGATTAAAACATTAGCCCCATTTCCACTAGACTTTAGAAACTGCCCAGAGATCGCGCAGAGCTCGGTAACCCAGGTAACTGTTGAGTGTGAATGGCGCAGAACTGAACCGGACCGTTCCAAACCCAACCAAACCGTGCTAAGCTGGTACTGGTTCATCAGTGAGGCTCGGCCCGGTTCAGTTCTGGCCCGGTTCTCAATGAGCAGACCACCTCATCTCCTTACAGTCAGCCTCTGTAATCTTTCCAAATAATCCTAGCTTCCCTAGCGTGCCGCACGATTTCCATTGATGATTCTGCTTAGCAGTGTGATGACGTCGTTTCCTGCGTCTGGAAGCCCTGATTTGACTATCGTCTGTCGTATCCACTTCCCAAAAGCCGACTCTGTCAAAGAAATTCACCATAGGCTGCGTTCTTCGCCTGACTTTCTGTAAACTTCCTGAATGTTACTGGCGCCGCCATGTTGGTTTGCTTGTTTCCCCTCTAGAGAGCAGTAGTACCGTAGATTGCCACTAGGAGGCGAGGAACCGCGCTAGCGTGGTGTGGAAACGGTCGTAAGGAACCGGGGTCGACACGGATCGGTTTCAGAGGGAATGGAAATGGGTCTATAGTATCTGAATGTTGTGGCTGGTTCTACAGCTGGATGGTCTCAGGTTTTCCCCCTGGATGGTCCTGGATTTATTTCCTGATTCCCTATCCCTTAGCATGATGCCCCCTCTGCTATGTTTGGCCATGTACCAACTGCAGAGTCCTTCACCCCAACTTAAACTTCTCTAGAGCTTTACCTCTGGTCCATCTACTGGCTTCCTTGGTCTTCCTGGATCTGGTTGGTCACTCATGTTCTCTAACAAACCTTGATTGGTTTTGCTGGAGTTTATTTAGGACAATAAGAACCAGCATCATTCTTTCCTCCTGCTCCTTCTTCATGTTTGTCTTGTCCTGCTGAATAATGCTGGTAATAGACGTTTAAACGGTGTGAATACCACCATCCCTGTTAGGGAATGTGTGGATGCAGCTAGAGGTGGAGAGTAGTCCTAACCACTAGTGTAACTTTCCGAAGGACTGGTGTGGACATGTCCCCACCAACTTTGGGCATGGAGGGGACAGTCCCCACCAATAATTTCCACTTTTTCCCTCCTTTCTGCTTATTTACTTTAGTCAACAGTAACTGGGTGCAGCTGTCTGTGTTTTCACTCCATGTTTTTTCCTCGCTCTCCCGCTGCTCTCCAGTCCCTCCTCTCAGTGAAACATCATCAGATCTGTTGCTTTGGGACATATTATTTGGCGTCGTTATTCACTGCGTACAGAGCCGCTATGTGGATGAGAAGATATACCCGATATGGAAAGCCATTTTAACATACAGTTGGTTTCGTCAGAACCTCTATGGCAAGCCGTTTTATAATGAAAATAGCAGCAGCACTCAGTGAATATTAACCAGCAGCTACTCTGATATATGTTTAAGTAAAAGTTAGGAGACGGGTTGGTTAAAAAAAGGTTTAGTTAGTTACACATACAGACCTTTTTCAGCTAAAACTGGCAGCAGATTGTACATTTATATAAGTTAAAAAAGCTGGGCTTCTCAAAAGACCATTACTCAGAGTTACAGATTACATAAATAGCTGTGCAGCAACCCAGAGACAGCCAGACTCACAGGACACAGACTTAAAAGTATAAGAAACCTACAAGAATTAAAGCAAAAATAATACAATTCAGCGTATAAATGATTTTTGAAATGAAAGGTTCAATAAATAGACTTTGTCTGTCAGTGACATCTGGGACAAATTTCTAAATTAGATTTTGCTTGTGAAGGAGGATGATCACTGATGCAGCTTAAAGGGAAGCCATGCATGGATCGATAGAAGTGAAGTTGTGTCCATAATAGGGATGCAGGATATATTGATGTTGGCATCGATATCGGCTGTTATTCCTCATTTTTTATACATTAATGTTTTTGAGCCCTTTATAAATAAAGCACTAAAGGCAGGCATCTGTCTAGATCTATAAATATTAGTGTACTGTGGTTCTCTGGTGTTCTCAACAATAGGAAAGCATTCAATAAATAGATGTTTGAGCTCATTTTGGGAAAATATAAACCCTATTGAAAGCATTTAGTAGCTGTAGGTCCATCAGCCCCCACCCATAGAGCGCCACCCCCCATAGAGCGCCACCCCCCTTAGAGCACCACCACCCTTAGAGCGATCCATAGTGCCAGCATGCTTTAAGTCTGCCTCCATTATTCCGGTCCCAAAGAAGCCTCAGGTCACCTCACTCAATGATTACTGGCCTGTCCAACGAACGGGTCCATTCCTTTGGAATGGGGGTCGTTTGGCTTCTTTGTTAGTCTGCAATGCCCCATACCTGTCTATGTCTCTGAAAGGGGGGTCATTCAGAGACATAGACAGGTATCTGCCATTGGAGAGGGAGTGCAAAGGGTAACACCATGATGGTAACCAAAAGCTTCCTTCATCCCACCCAGAACCCAGCAGAAATACTGAAGGATTGAGATGGATGTGTGCTCCTCCTGGCTAGCTGACCTCCACCTTAACGCTGATCGGCCCTCAGGCAGCAAACCTTTCTGACGGGGCTTCGTTCTTACTGGTCTTACTGGGATCCAACTGGCTTGGTTCATATTCTCCATCATTAGATGAAGAGAAAGAGATATGAGAGATTCAGATACTGCGGCTGCTGGAATGGAAACGATTGATTTCATTTCTATGGGCTGGTCTGTGGGCCTGATGGGAGCCACTCACCTGTCAGAGAGGGAGCCAGCCACGCTGTCCACATACTCCACATCCGTCTGTGTGAAGGGAGGAACAAAGGGAGCTTAGTGATGCTACGTCCTGAACAAAGGAGACGTCGGCCTGAACACCTCAGGAAGGAGCGAGGCTCCGACCTCAGAACGGCCGCTCACATGGGTTCACCCTACAGACCCACAGGAGAACAGGAAAAGCATGTTCTAGCAGCAGCAGCAGGAGGAGGAGGAAAAGGAAGAGGAGGAGGAGGAGGAAGAGCAGGAGGATGAAGAGAAAGAGGAGGAGGAAAAGGAGGAGGAGGTGTGCCCTTCAGGCGCCGACCAGACCTGCTGTGGACCTGCATGTAGGAACCTTCCCTCCATGCCTCCTTCAGAGACGGCAGGAATCCATCTGAGCTTTTAACAGTCAGAGGAAACCTGCTGCGGGGGTCAAAGGTCATCTGAAAAACCAACAGTTTCCAGGAGATCTGAGGTCTGGCAGGGGGCCGCCATCAGGGCGAAGAAGCTAGAAGTTTCCATCAGCCAGAGACAGCTGGAAGCTTCTACTGATGAGTAGAGCCCAGCCCTGCTGCTGCACACTGCTGGTCAGAGGGCTTCACCTCGGCCTCACTGGCATGGAAACAGTGTGAAAAATAAAAGAGTCGTGATGTGTTTCAGATGGAGTTATCGAGCGGGTCACATGGTGAGCATCAAGAACTCCATCCTCTGACAGCAGCAGGAGGAGGAGGAATCTTTTCAGCAGCTGAAGGTTACCTCGGCAACGAAGACGATGATGAGGAGGTCGCGTCTCTCTGAGGAGGTCAGGCTGCTCAGCAACGAGCTGAGGGTGCTGACCAGGTAGCTCTGCTTCTCCCTCCTCACCGTAGGGATGCCCAGCACCAAGGTCACTGAGGGGGTAAACGCCAAGACCATCATCATCATCAGCCATGCATAGTGAGGGGAGGGCTGTGTCAGTGGGACGCCCCTTACCTCCGCGGCGCCCCCTCCCTAACACCACACGGGGCTGCAGGCTGTCAGGATACTCCCTGAGGTGGGGCATGTAGAGCTCCATGTTGCCCTGGAGCCTGCTAGGCTCAGACTTCAGCTGCTTCACTGTCAGAGAAGAAGAAGATTAGAGAGCAGAGTGTCTGGAAGGAGAGGAGGAGTTCAGAAGTTCTACTGATCAGATGGTTCCTTCATCTCTGCCTCCCATTATCCCTTTATGTGCAGAGCTGCAGAGGTTCAATCTGCAGAGACCCGGTTCAATCTGCAGAGACCCGGTTCATTCTGCAGAGACACGGTTCATTCTGCAGAGACCAGGTTCATTCTGCAGAGACACGGTTCATTCTGCAGAGACACGGTTCATTCTGCAGAGACACGGTTCATTCTGCAGAGACACGGTTCATTCTGCAGAGACACGGTTCAATCTGCAGAGACACGGTTCAATCTGCAGAGACACGGTTCATTCTGCAGAGACACGGTTCATTCTGCAGAGACACGGTTCATTCTGCAGAGACACGGTTCATTCTGCAGAGACACGGTTCATTCTGCAGAGACACGGTTCAATCTGCAGAGACACGGTTCAATCTGCAGAGACACGGTTCATTCTGCAGAGACCCGGTTCATTCTGCAGAGACCCGGTTCATTCTGCAGAGACCCGGTCCACGATTCAATCTGCAGAGACACGGTTCAATCTGCAGAGACACGGTTCAATCTGCAGAGACACGGTTCAATCTGCAGAGACCAGGTTCAATCTGCAGAGACCCGGTTCATTCTGCAGAGACACGGTTCAATCTGCAGAGACACGGTTCAATCTGCAGAAACCCGGTTCATTCTGCAGAGACCCGGTTCAATCTGCAGAAACCCGGTTCAATCTGCAGAGACATGGTTCATTCTGCAGAGAACCGGTTCAATGTGCAGAGAACCGGTTCAATGTGCAGAGAACCGGTTCAATGTGCAGAGAACCGGTTCAATGTGCAGAGAACCGGTTCAATGTGCAGAGAACCGGTTCAATGTGCAGAGACATGGTTCATTCTGCGGAGACCTGATTCATTTTCGGAGACCAGAAGAATCATTCTGCCCGGTTCCTTTGTCTGGCCCAGTCCGCCCGGCCAAGACTATGAGCTCTGGTTCTTGGTTTCTGCAGCAGTGAAACATCCCACAATGCACTGGTCAGCTCCCAGTTTGCATGGCTATCTTTAGACTTTTATGGAAAGAAACCAGTATGCAAATCAGAATACAGGGAAACGAAGGCTGGCACACAGCCAGACCACAGGTCTAATTTCCATAGAACCTGGAGAGACGGCCTGCTGGTGCCTAAAGCTCCCCTGACTGCTGGCTCAGGTCCACCACCATGAGAAAACCTGGATCTGTTGGACCCAGACTGGGTCTGGACTCTAAGCAGCCCAGCTTCAGGTTCTGAGCAGGTTCAGTTCTGAACTGATGGGAACGGATCCAGTTCCACCGAGCCACAACCTCAAAGCCAACAGAACCAGCACCTCTATGCTATAGAGGGAATTCTGCTCCTTTATCGTTTCAAGCAAACAGCTGGTTTAGAAAAATGCTCTTTTCTCTCAGTACATTTTTTTACTTTTTAAATATTTTTATATTTTCAGACTTTTCTCTTTCAGGTTGAGTTTCTGCATCTATTCAGATTCTGACTGTGTCCGAATGTCCGCCTTAATCCTCACATACTGGTTACGCCATTTTGGATGAGTGTCCCAACCTCTACTGAATGAATAAGTAGTGGACTCAAAATTTCCCACAATGCACCTTGAAAACCATCCATGGTCACTAGACAGCAGATATATCCCACGATGCTTTGGAAGGAGAGCTCTCCTCAAAAAAGCGGCCCGCTGTCTCTACCCCACAGCAGCGACTATTAACAAAGATGGCGCAGGCACCGCGCGGGGAGGCGGAGTCACATGACCAGCGGGAAGCGAAGAGCAGTGATCATCTGTCTCAACGGTCAGTTAACTAAGTTCACTATAAAGTCCCTGCTGTGTATAGTGATGGAGGGATGTAGGGGTTAGGGCGGACGGTCAGACTTTTCCAGATCACATTTCCTTCACTTACAGCCTAATCCAAACGCTCGCTCTTGACCAATCAGAACAATGCGTCTGGCAGACCAATAGAAATGCGGCTGCAGAGGAAAGCCCGCCCCCAGAAGGGAGGAGATCAAATCTACGAATAAACTTCATAATACTCAATCTGAAAATGAGGAACCGGAAAATATAACATTTGAAAATACATATTAGGAAAATTTAAAAAATACAATTTGAAAAGTATATTTTCAACTTTTCATTAGAAATAATGAAATGATGTTCTTTATATCTAATTTTACTCAAATTAAGTTAAATATATCAATAAGAAAATAAAAGATAAAGCAAAGTTCTCCTTCCCAAACCTTTTGTGGATAACAAAGTTTCTGTTCTGATTGAATGTTTTTTGTTTCCTTTCCATAGGTGGATCCAGACTACCTGAGGATCCACCTGCTTTCTAGCGGTCTCACTGCAGACCCTTGGTGCAGACCAACCATGGAGATGGTCCACCATATGCAGCCTTCTAGCAGCTGGCAGCTCAGCCAGAGACCCGAGGATCTCCCATGATACTCTGCATGTACCAGGAAGGTCTCTGGGAACGGATCCGTTCTGCAAACAGATGTGATTCTTACTGGTTGAGGTGAAGCTTCTGCTGCTGGACGTGTTGCTGCTGGATGCGTTGCTCCAGCCGTGGCTGGCGTTGGTGGACCGGGTCATGTTCTCCAGCTGCTCCAGGATGACGCTGAGGTCCCTGCTGACCTGTCCTCCCAGCTCCTCAGCCACCGACAGCCTCTGGTGCAGCGCCTGCAGGTCTGGTGCTGAGGAGGGAGGAAGCAGTGGGAAGGTTCAGCCTACTTCATGTTGTCAGGCAGTTTCACTGGAAGCTCTACACCCTGCTGTTCTGCAGTAATCAGACCAGGTGTGCTGGTGTGGAAGATTTTCCACTGAAAAGATCAGAAACATTTAGAGAAGAAGCAAAGCTGTGGCGCCTCTCAGGAAGCACCTGTCCATCTCCAGCCTCCCTTCATCACCTCCTGTAGCCTACAGACGCTGGAGGACTGGAAGGGTTTGAAGCTGTCTTTAAGGTAGAGAGGCTGTGATGACGTCATCCAGACAGGTCTGCAGGCTGTGATGAACATCCAGCCTGGATTCAGCCTGGAAAAGCTGCTGTGACTGTTTTCTGCCTATAAGGCTTCATGTTAGAGTGAAGCTGCTGCTTCTCCACTAGAAGTGGTTGTGTCTGGAATTATCTCCACACCAGAACAGCTTCCTTCCTGTTCAGGTCAAAGAGCAGCAGAGATTAGGTAGTAATGACTGACATACCTCCGCCATCCGGCTGGAATTTTATCCAAGAAAGTGACAGAAAACAAGCGGCCGCCAACAGACATCCAACTCGGAGGGGATAAAACCTCATGTCCTTCCTCACCCAGAGTCTTCCTCGCACCTGCCGCAGCCGCCCATGGACTACAGGTGAACAGCTGTAGGTGAATTCCTCGGGTAGTTATAGGAGGCAGGTCATTGGCTACGTCAGAAGCTGCAAAACACACCTGCGTCATGGGATCCAGGTGTAAACGAAAGTTTTCGCGTGAATGTAAAGCCATGCCTGTGACTTCCATCAGGGGAAGGTTTCACCGTGGACCACAGCGACACCTGGTGGTCCATTAGACACACTATCAGAGAGACGGCCAGGTGTTATGGCGAGAATTGCATTTCCTCTCGCGGGATGATGTAAAGAATATCTTTAAACGTTTCCTCTTCTTCAGTCAGTTTGCTAATCAATATGCGAGAGTTAAGAGCGATGCGCGCTCCCGCGAGAGAGGATGCAATTCTCGGCAGGCATGCATTTCTCGTCATAACACCGGTCTGCCGGAGCGCAGATCCAGGTGCTGTTGGAACTCAGATCCCGGTTCTGGTCCACTTGACATCAAGACAATCAGCAAAAACACAGACTTCTCCTTAGTCGCGGACCCTGACTCTTCCCAGCTATATATCCACTCATGTCGCCGGTATTTTCCAGCGGGGATGTAGCTCAGTGGTAGAGCGCATGCTTTGCATGTATGAGGTCCCGGGTTCAATCCCCGGCATCTCCATAGGTTTTTCTTTTGTTGCTGTTTGTTCAGTTCTCTTTGCTTTTCATTGGATGAAGTGCGAGTATTTTTTTTTAAAAACAACACAATGCGGTATAATTCCAGTTAAGTAAAGAGGAAGGTATTAAAATCAAAGGTTGTCTGCCTTTCATCACCATTATTGCTCTAACTGTATACAATTATGATATTTATGTTTTTAGAATCGGAAGCAGAACATTTCAAAGAACATAATAAGGCCTGAGTAGATAATTCTGAGTGTTATAGTTCTACAGTATGAGCATATTGGAGGCATGCATGCATAGATAAACGTCAGAAGCTGTTTTACTGTGAGGACAAACTTATTTGCTTTTTTTCCTTATACGTGTAAATTTAACTTGTATTTTGTGCTGTGAGCAAATGGCAGCCAGTGATGTCATCCTAACCTGGCACCTCAGTGAAGGTGTGTCCACCTTTTTGTCTGTATTTTACTAGTTTTCTTTGGTAATGTAGAGCTAGTTAGTTGTCAATCACCTGGTCTGAGGTGTGGTTATCCACCTTTAGATGGGGCCTACTGGGTAGGAGACGAGTCGCTCCTGTTTCTGTTGTAGATCTGGACTAAAAGACTGGTCTGTTTGTTGTTGTGACATCTGCAGCCAGTGCTCCTGTGGTGGTGCACCAGCATTGGATCATCACATGACATCATAACAGACTCTGGGAGCTGCTCTGGCCTCCAAGCAGATGTCCTGCAGAAGTCTGGATGCTCATCTGCGGTGAACCTCAGAGAGGGAAAACAGGGCAGCACACAGTGTGTCATTCCTGTTGCTACGCGCATCAACTAAACGAGTCCTTCACAGTCACAGACACACAAGTCCTTTCACATTTTTAACAAGATCCCCCATCCATTAACCCTAAGTACCCTTTGACCCCCCCAGCAGCTGCAATGGGAGGAAGTGGCTGGTTGTCATGGTGATAGAGGAAACATTCAATGGTAAAATGTTGCATTGTGAAAGGATTCAGACCCCCCCACCCCATGGATGTGAGCTATCTGTGCAGATAATATTTCCAAAGCCATTTACTGCTTCGTTAAGAACAGATGTGTTAAATATTTCACAATGAAGTGAAGTTTTCACAAGGTAGTAAACTCAGAAACAAGCTTTATTTAGAAAGCATCAAGACTTTAAAATAAAAATAAGAATAGATAAAAAGATAAAATAGCATACATACAACCTCGTAGAGCATAAACACCACCAAGAGTCAGTCTGAATGAAAACACCTCCAGCTGCCTCTTCAAAGAGTCACCAGGTTCATGTTAGCGCAAAGATGGGGGCGACGTATGGCACAGTGTGGGGCTGCGGCTCTACAGGGTCCAGGCCTTTGACTGGAGGATCTCAGACTTTGAGACGAGGTGTAGAGCTCTAGAAGGTCAGGCTTGGTTTGGTCCAAGAAGCTTCACAACTGATCAGAAAGAAGAGCGAAAGACACAGAGGTGTTTCTGGCTTTCAATACATCGTTTCTAAGATGCCATAATTATGGTTTCTGTACTATCAGGGCCGTTCTCAAAGAGCAGATGATTAATTCTACAAAAACTGTTGATCATGAAGAACGACATCTTAATAAAAATGAAAAAAAAAAACACATCAGAAAACTGCCTGATTATTTGCTGTTATGGAAAAACAGAACTGGGGGGTAAAAACCCTAAATAAAAATGTAAATCCTTAAATGTTTTAGAAAAAATTGCAGAATAGATTTTTGTTTTGTTTTGCTGGAAATAAAAGGAAAACAGCAGCCTGCCTAACCCTAACCTTTGAATCCCCATAAACAAGGCCTGAAACACTGAGCTGCCACTGTGTTCATCAAAGTAAAAGTTTAGGTGTCTCAGTGAACATTGAATAAAACCTTATCTCTGGAAGGTGGGGCAGCATCTGAGGTAGTCATGGAATCTGAACCGGGTTTGGACTGCTATGATCCAGTTGAACTTTCTGAATTAGCAAAATTATTGTCTTCATCTAAGCCTTCAACTTGTACGTTAGATCCAGTTCCAACCAGGTTATTTAAGGAGGTATTCCCTTTGATCTCCTCCTCCATTTTAGATGTGATTAATCTATCTCTGTTACAGGGATATGTACCTAAAGCTTTTAAGGTTGCTGTAATTAAACCTCTGCTTAAGAAACCACCTCTTGACCCAGATGACTTGGTCAATTATAGACCTATATCCAATCTTTCTTTTCTGATCTAAAATTCTTGAGAAAGTAGTTGCCAAACAAGTGTGCGATCACTTCCACCATAATAAACTTTTTAAACTTTTCTTCAGGACCAAGAAGCCACATCAGACACCAACTTCATATCCTAAGCAGTTGTGATGTTTCTTACTGTGCTTATGTTGTAAATGTGGTGAGGCGGTGCTTTATTTGGCCTTTGGCCGACATATAACCGGTTTGCTCCACCAGGTCCTGCCCTCTGGGCAGAAAGCCAGGAAACCCTCACTGCTTCTTTCTCCATGTGTCTGAGCCGTCAGACCTGAACCCACCTGAGACCAGAAGGTATTTCTGACAGTGAGGGGTTAAACCAAGGCCCATCACTGGCTTTAGGTTGGATGAACAAACAGCTCCTCCTTTTATTTCACTTTATGTTTTGGTGCTTTTAGATTCCAGTCAATTAGCTTACATCCCCAGAATACTCAGAATAAAACCAGTTAAGAAAGACTGGATGCTTTTTCAAGCCTCTGTAAACTTCCTCTGCAGACAGCGTCTGTCTGAGGGGAACATGTCGATCAGCCGGTCATCCCAGAAGCGTCAGGTCTCCTTCAGCCGCTGTCCTGCAGCAGAACCAGCAGATAAGAGGGAGCATAATGGTCCCAGTGGGAGTTAATGGGATGGCTGCAACAATGGAAGAAATGAGGTTAGTATTGATGGACTCTACTGTTTAACAACAAGGAAAATATGAACCAGTAAAAACCTCAGAACATGCTCTCCAATCTGCTGATGACTCCACCCTTTATCCTGTCCTCTGGTGGCGCTGTGGGACGCATGTGTCCATATGGTCCGACAGTCGGTTCAGAAGCATCAACACAAAGAAACAGAAAAAAACTACTTCTGTTTAATCCTCTAAGAGGATTGAGAGGAAAATGTTGATGGCATCATGAGAGACATGCAGATGTTGACCCCCCCCAGCCTGCCTTTTCAGTGTAACACACACTAATCCTCCCTGAGACCATTGCCGGTTTCTGTTTGCAGGATAATTCTGCCTAGAACTGTTTTCATCTATCTATTTCATTTCTATGTCAGTGGAATATTTGTTGAAGCTCTTAAAGAGCAAAGTGACCCGTAAAGTCTTTATGGAAGGACAGAGGCGCGTCTGCCTCCATTTATCACGATAGGTTTGACAGTGGGTGGGGTGGGGTAGGGTGGGGGGTGAAGTTGAGGAAAAAGAAGCTGGAGAATAGAAAGGACCCATCTGTTCATGCTGGCAGATGAAGAGAGGAGGACAGAGTGGAAGAGGGAGCAGGAAGCAGAATCTCTGCTGCGGGTTTGGATCTTGGTTTGTTCTGTTTTCAGGCATCCTTTGGCGTTTTTCCCTGCTTACCGAGTAAGTTTCTGTTGATTTGGATGGTGTGATGTGAAGTAATGTTGTCCTGGCTGATATATTAAGAGTCACTGATTAACATCACAGGATTTTCTGTTGCTCTGCAGGATGGTCGCTGATTTCACCTTTGAAAATTAACTCCTTCTGATTTCTGATTAGGCTCTAGGATCCAGTTAGCCATCCTATGATCCAGATCGAGTTACCCCCCCTGGGATCCAGTTTGCCCCCTGGGATCCAGTTAGCCCCCTGGGATCCAGTTAGCTCTCTGGGATCCAGTTAGCCTCCTGGGATCCAGTTAGCTCTCTGGGATCCTGTTAGCCCCCTGAGATCCAGATCCAGTTACCCCCCTGGGATCCAGTTAACTCTCTGGGATCCAGTTAGTTTTCTGGGATCCAGTTAGCTCTCTGGGATCCAGTTAGCCCCCTGAGATCCAGTTAGCCCCATGGGATCCAGTTAGCCCCCTGGGATCCAGATCCAGCTACCCCCTGGGACCCAGTTAGCTCTCTGGGATCCAGTTAAACCCCTAGGATCCAATTAGACCCCTGGGATCCAGTTAGCCCTCTGGGATCCAGTTAGTTCTCTGGGATCCAGTTAGCCCTCTGGGATCCAGTTAGTTCTCTGGGATCCAGTTAGCCCCCTGGGATCCAGTTAGCTCTCTGGGATCCTGTTAGCCCCCTGAGATCCAGATCCAGTTAACCCCCTGGGATCCAGTTAGCCCCCTGGGATCCAGTTAGCTCTCTGGGATCCAGTTAGCCCCCTGAGATCCAGATCCAGTTACCCCCCTGGGATCCAGTTACCCCCCTGGGATTCAGTTAGCTCTCTGGGATCCAGTTAAACCCCTAGGATCCAATTAGACCCCTAGTATCCAATTAGACCCCTGGGATCCAGTTACCCCCCTGGTACCCAGTTAGCCACCTGGGACCCAGTTAAACCTCTAGGATCCAGTTACCCCTCTGGGATCCAGTTAGTTCTCTGGGATCCAGTTAGCCCCCTGGGATCCAGTTAGCTCTCCGAAATCCTGTTAGCCCCCTGAGATCCAGATCCAGTTAACCCCCTGGGATCCAGTTAAACCTCTAGGATCCAGTTACCCCTCTGGGATCCAGTTAGCTCTTTGGGATCCAGTTAAACCTCTAGGATCCAGTTACCCCTCTGGGATCCAGTTAGTTCTCTGGGATCCAGTTAGCCCCCTGGGATCCAGTTAGCTCTCTGGGATCCTGTTAGCCCCCTGAGATCCAGATCCAGTTAATCCCCTGGGATCCAGTTACCCCCCTGGGATCCAGTTAGCTCTCTGGGATCCAGTTAAACCCCTAGGATCCAGTTAGCCCCCTGGGATCCAGTTAGCTCTTTGGGATCCAGTTAAACCTCTAGGACCCAGTTAGACCCCTGGGATCCAGTTAGAACCCCAGGACCCAGTTAGAACCCAAGGACCCAGTAGTCCTCTTAGGTTATATTCTAACCCCTCTATGAATGAGAGGAAATAAATAAGGGACTTGTATTGTTGTTTGATGTGTTAGAATCCAATCTGTTCTGTTAGCATTGAACTGGGTTAGCACCTAATCCCCGTGTTTGTCTCTGCTGCGCAGAATGCAGTTTAGCATAGATGAATTAAACCTGGCCTGATTCCTGGGCAGATGTTTAACTTCCTTGACTTTGTGAAATATTTAAAACTGGTTCTTCAGCTTGCAGCATGGTCTCCCGCCTTTGCTGAACCTTGAACATCCAGCTTATTCCAGTCTGGAGCTCCTCAGCAGAACAATAGAGCGAATGGGACCTTGTTGAAGTCAGCGGCTGTTGCTTGGTTCTAGACTTGCTTCTCCTTTCGGTTCTGGACAAATTCCTGTCCGTCATTCATCGTCTTCATCTCCCTGACAACCTTCCTTGGATGGCCAACCCTCTAACTTGATTAAATGACACAACCCCCCCCGCCCCCAGACACACACACTCTATGCTAATTGGCTTCCATCCTCTGATTGGATCTGCTCCATCGTCTCCCCAGAGGGAATACAGTCCAGCCGTTTGCTGTCAGCCTCTTTCAGTCACGCCGTTGTCCTGAGAAACATCGTGATGTTAAAGACCTTCTGCAGACGGAGACAAAGACAGAAAACATTCTGGTATAAGCAGGGACTGTTTTTCAAGACTTTTCCTCCTCTAATCCTGCAGAATGGAATCAGGTGAAGGTGCTTCCTCTTTACTTCCTACTTTCTGAAGGAGGGGACATTGGTCTTATTGGGTGTGAAGGACTAAAGATCAGCCAGAACCTGGATGTTCTCTGCAGGGTCCTGGAAAGTTGTTAAATGCTTCTTCCTGATTTGGCCATTTTAAAAACCTTTCAGTTGTTGGGTATGTGAACTTATTATAAACTTTTTATGGATTCTTTTACTCAGTGGTTCAGACTCACCTTTATGATTTTATGATTCTCTTTATTTAGGTTTCTTTCTATGTTGGAGATAAACAGTGAAAACATGGAGAATATGGAGCAAACCTCTAACCTCTCAGGTGCTTTACTTGCTTCTCTGCAGACTCTAGCCGTCCTCTTAGCCTGAAGCTGACCTCAGAAAGCTGGTTTTTCCCAGAGGGAGAAGTAAAATTAGAGACAAACCTTTGAGTGAGAGGGTGGACAGACGTTTGACTGGCGGTCAAAAGTAATTAAAGCAATTAGCTTTTTGCAGGGTGTGAATCTAACAGTGGTGTTTGCTGCAGCTCTGCTTTAGGGGAGAGACTCACTGGTTGGCTGTGATTTCATTATAAAAACCTCATCAGAGCGAGCTTAATGATTAATTTCTGTTGTGTTCAAAGAGCAAAGCTGTGCCGCGTGTCTGGAGGTGTTTCATAGGCTCACTCCTTCATGCTGCCTGTTGGTAATAAAATATTTCTCCTGCAGCGGCCTTTAGCCTGACCTGGGATTTTACTCGTCCTCAGCTCATTTTACACAGTTTTACCAGAATGATGTCAGTTTCCTGGATCCACACCCTGTGCCACAGGAGGGACTTTCAGATTAGGGTGGATTTCTCAGAGGTTTAGAGCAATGATGATTGGTGGAGCCTTTCTCACAGTGAAGCTACAAAAGCAGATTAATCAACATAAGGAGCGTTGATGAGGAGAATGGCAAATACAGACCCATCATATTTATATATCACAATCTGTGAGAGAAAGTAGAAATCCATATGATACTTTAGGTGAGAAGGTAGCCAAGTTAAACAGGAATCTGCCCACTTTATCCAGATACGAGTCTGTTTAGTTAGTGGAGGAGATCTCATTAGTGGGGCAGACTAGAGTCAGACAGTATGGATCAATGTTCAGCCATCCATCTTCAGTCAGGTTTGGAGGAAGTTAGTGATGAACCAAATGCAGAGATAAGCTTTGCTGATTTAATAACGGTTCCAAGGCAACAGAGGCAAAATCCAGGAACTAAAAATACAAAAAAAAAAAAAAAACCAAGAGACGCCGCAGGAAAACACACAAGAGGAGCTAAGTGACGACCGAAGAACCGCACAGGAGGAGTATATATGGGAGACAGAACAAATACTGGGCTAATCAGCTGACAGGGAGCAGGTGTGGATAGAAGAGACTAGAAGGGAGCTAGGGGAAAGGAGACAGGCACAAGGGGGCGACAGAGAGTAAATAACAAAACTCCATCCATCCATCCATCCATCCATCTTCCTCCGCTTATCCGGGGTCGGGTCGCGGGGGCAGCAGCTTAAGAAGGGAGGCCCAGACTTCCCTCTCCCCAGCCACTTCTTCCAGCTCTTCAGGAGGAACCCCAAGGCGTTCCCAGGCCAGCCGAGAAACATAGTCTCTCCAGCGTGTCCTGGGTCTTCCCCGGGGCCTCCCCCCGGTGGGACGTGCCCGGAACACCTCACCAGGGAGGCGTCCAGGAGGCATCCTAAACAGATGCCCAAGCCACCTCAACTGGCTCCTCTCGACGTGGAGGAGCAGCGGCTCTACTCCGAGTCCCTCCCGGATGACCGAGCTTCTCATCCTATCTCTAAGGGAGAGCCCAGCCACCCTACGGAGGAAACCCATTTCGGCCGCTTGTATCCGCGATCTCGTTCTTTCGGTCATGACCCAGAGTTCATGACCATAGATGAGGGTAGGAACGTAGATCGACCGGTAAATCGAGAGCTTCGCTTTTTGACTCAGCTCTCACTTCACCACGACGGACCGGTACAGTGCCCGCTTCACGGCAGACGCTGCACCAATCCGCCTGTCGATCTCCCGCTCCCTTCTTCCCTCATTCGTGAACAAGATCCCAAGATACTTAAACTCCTCCACTTGGGGCAGGACACCCCCCCTGACCCGGAGAAGGCACTCTACCCTTTTCCGGCTCAAGACCATGGCCTCGGATTTGGAGGCACTGATCCCCATCCCGGCCGCTTCACACTCGGCTGCGAACCGATCCAGCGAGAGCTGCAGATCACGACTTGATGAAGCCAACAGGACCACATCATCTGCAAAAAGCAGAGACGCAATCCTAAGGCCACCAAAACGGATCCCCTCAACACCTTGGCTGCGCCTAGAAATTCTGTCCATGAAGGTAATGAACAGAATCGGTGACAAAGGGCAGCCCTGGCGGAGTCCAACTCTCACTGGAAACGAGCCCGACTTACTGCCGGCAATGCGGACCAGACTCTGACACCGGTCATACAGGGACCTGACAGCCCGTATCAAAGGGCCCGGTACCCCGTACTCCCGGAGAACCCCCCACAGGGCCCCCCGAGGGACACGGTCGAACGCCTTCTCCAAGTCCACAAAGCACATGTAGACTGGTTGGGCGAACTCCCATGCACCCTCCAGGACCCTGCTGAGGGTGTAGAGCTGGTCCAGCGTTCCACGACCAGGACGGAAACCACACTGCTCTTCCTGAATCCGAGGTTCGACTATCCGACGGACCCTCCTCTCCAGCACCCCCGAATAGACCTTGCCGGGGAGGCTTAAGAGTGCGACTCCCCTGTAATTGGAGCACACCCTCCGGTCCCCCTTTTTGAATAGGGGGACCACCACCCCAGTCTGCCAATCCAGGGGGACTGCCCCCGATGTCCATGCAATGTTGAAGAGTCGTGTCAGCCAACACAACCCCACAACATCCAGGACCTTGAGGAACTCCGGGCGGATCTCATCCACCCCCGGGGCCCTGCCACCGAGGAGCTTTTTAACCACCTCGGCGACCTCGCCCACAGAGATTGGAGAGCCCAGCCCAGAGTCCCCAGGCCCAGCTTCCTCAATGGAAGACATGTTGGTGGGATTGAGGAGGTCTTCGAAGTATTCCGCCCACCGACCCACAACGTCCCGAGTCGAGGTCAGCAGCACACCATCCCCACTATAAACAGTGTTGGTGCTGCACCGCTTCCCCCTCCTGAGACGCCGGATGGCGGACCAGAATCGCTTCGGAGCCGTGCGGAAGTCTTTCTCCATGGCCTCTCCAAACTCCTCCCACACCCGAGTTTTTGCCTCAGCAACCATCCGAGCCGCATGCTGCTTCGCCCGCCGGTACCCATCAGCTGATTCCGGAGTCCCACAGGCCAAAAAGGCCCGATAGGCCTCCTTCTTCAACCTGACAGCATCCCTCACCGGAGGTGTCCACCAACGGGTTCGAGGGTTGCCGCCACGACAGGCACCGACAACCTTGCGGCCGCAGCTCAGATAAGCCGCCTCGACAATGGAGGAACGGAACATGGTCCACTCGGACTCAATGTCCCCCACCTCCCCCGGGATGTGTTCGAAGTTCTGCCGGAGATGGGAGTTAAAGCTCCGCCTAACAGGGGACTCCGCCAGACGTTCCCAGCAGACCCTCACAACACGTTTGGGCCTGCCAGGTCTGACCGGCATCCTCCCCCACCACCGGAGCCAACTCACCACCAGGTAGTGGTCAGTGGAAAGCTCAGCACCTCTCTTCACCCGAGTGTCCAAGACATACGGCCGCAAGTCCGATGAAACGATGACAAAGTCGATCATCGAACTGCGGCCTAGGGTGTCCTGGTGCCATGTGCACATATGGACACCCTTATGCTTGAACATGGTGTTCGTTATGGACAATCCATGACGAGCACAGAAGTCCAACAACAGAACACCACTAGAGTTCAGATCAGGGCGGCCATTCCTCCCAACCACGCCCCTCCAGGTCTCACTGTCATTGCCCACGTGAGCGTTGAAGTCTCCCAGCAGAACAAGGGAGTCCCCAGGAGGGGCACCCTCCAGTACCCCCTCTAAGGACTCCAAGAAGGGTGGGTAATCTGAACTGTTGTTCGGCCCGTAAGCACAGACAACAGTCAGAACCCGTCCCCCCACCCGTAGGCGGAGGGAGGCTACCCTCTCGTTCACCGGGGTAAACCCCAACGTACAGGCGCCGAGATGGGGGGCAACAAGTATGCCCACTCCTGCCCGGCGCCTCTCACCGTGGGCAACTCCAGAGTGGAAGTATGTCCAGCCCCTCTCAAGGAGACTGGTTCCAGAACCAGAACCATGCGTTGAGGTGAGACCGACTATTTCTAGCCGGAACCTCTCAGCCTCACACACTAGCTCCGGCTCCTTCCCCACCAGCGAGGTGACATTCCACGTCCCAAGAGCCAGCTTCTGCAGCCGAGGATCGGACCGCCAGGGTCCCCTCCCCCGGCCGCCACCCAACACACATTGCACCCGACCCCTATGGCCCCTCTCACGGGTGGTGGGCCCATGTAAGGGGGGACCCATGTTTCCTCTTCGGGCTGAGCCCGGCCGGGCCCCATGGGTAAAAGCCCGGCCACCAGGCGCTCGCCATCGTGCCCCCCCTCCAGGCCTGGCTCCAGAGTGGGGCCCCGGTGACCCGCGTCCGGGCGAGGGAACGCTGGATCCAATTATTGTACTCATCATAACGGTCTTTGGGCTGCGCTTTGTCTGGTTCCTCACCTAGGACCTGTCTGCCTTGGGTGACCCTACCAGGGGCATAAAGCCCCAGACAGCATAGCTCCCAGGATCATTGGGACACTCAAACCTCTCCACCACGATAAGGTGGCAGCCCAAGGAGAGGATAACAAAACTCAACACTGCTTAAATTTAACTAGAAAACAACTAGAATGACACAGAATGGAAAAGACACAATTACCAAGAAAACAGAATGACATCAATACAAATGAAAAACTAAAAAAAAGTCCATAAAGGGAAGGATCAGGACATGTCCTCCATCAGTGGAGCTGATGCCTTCCTCTGGCAGTCCAGGGTCCAGCCTGGACGGACCCCCGGGCCCCCGGTCTGCAACAGCTCTACAAACTGCACCACCATGTCGCCCCATGGATTAAAAACACAAAGCAATTATTCTACTCCTGTTGCCTACATGTCTGTTTGAAAACCTGTCTGATAAACCAAGGTTCATCAGAAGGTTCCTTACAGCCGTTAATGTTCATAAAACCCAGCTTTAGAGAGAAAATCCTAATCCAACAGTTCTGGGATTAATTCTTCTTAAAGTTTAAGACGTTAAAAAACAACGGCAGGGTTTTTCTTTCTAAATCCTCAGTAAAGATTAAAATCCTCTAAGCTTCCTAAAAGACTTGATTCTTAGTTCTTTTGATAAAATGAGACCTTGACCTTGTGTGACCCGTAGAAAAGCTGGAATATATTCTTTCACTTGGTTCAGTGATCCACAGCTACGCTGCAAAGGCTGATCATAAATAAATGGTCAAAGTGGGAAAGGTTGTCAGCCGCCTCCATGTTTAATGTCTAAATCAGGAACCATGTTGTTGAACAGGACTTTCTGGCTTTTAGGGCCTTCCTGACCTGAGCTTTGGCGAGGAAGCCAGGTGAGCACGCCATGAAAGGATAGAAACTTCATGAAGGTACCTTCAACAAGGAGGTTAGGAGACAGATAAAGCAGAAGTTCTGCAGGATGAAACATCGGGGGGATTTTCAGGCTCCACAGCAGAGATCAGTCAGATGAGGAAGGATGGCAGGAAGCTCCAGCTGATGCTTTTGGAGACCAGGAAAATTCAGCTCAGCGCCGCCCTCTGATGGCCAACTAAAACACAACAATCATCCAGATCCTGACAGTTCACTGTGTTCAATATTAAACCTATTATTTTAAAATGTTTAAATGTTCCACTGGAGCTGTGGAGCTCCTCCAGCACCACCATGGTCCTCCTTTTCTCGGATCACTGCTCTCCCTGTCCAGCCTCGGTCTGGATGGAAGCCCCTATCCATGGAGGTGAGCAGGTGGTCCATCCTCTCTCCGTGGTGGATTGATCGGCGCCCTGGGACCCGACCCTGGCCCGTCTGCATGTTCCTCTAATGTTTGTAAATCCCTTTATTGATCTCACACTGGAGATATCCACTCTCTGGATTTAACCCATCCCCTTGGGGAGCAGTGGGCTGCCATTGTGCGGCACCCAGGGAGCAGTGTGGGGTTAAGGGTCTTGCTCAGGGACCCAGAGGGAAGGTTGTGGGGACTGAGCCGGGTACTTTCAACCTTCTCAGAGCAGAGCACTCTGCTCTAAGCACTAGGCCAACACTTATGTAGCTACATTGGTCTCAATTTTCACAAATACATATGTGATTATTACATGCACAGCAGATTTTTGTATTTGGACTCTGATTCCCTTCTTTAAACAAACTCTTATGAAATGAGCCGCCTTCAGATTTAGATCATTAACCAGAGAAACTGGAGGGTTGTCAAAGAACACTCGCCATTAGATCACATGCTGCCATGTCCTGATATGAAAAGGCATGAAGGTGAAGAACATTCATCACAGCTACTGTTTCTACTGCAGGGATGAGGCTCCGACTTCCAGTCCAGACATTCGTTGTATTCCAGTGAGGGCGATCGTCGCAGAGCGAGATGGAAACGTGGATGATGATGATCGTGTGCCTGAGCAATGGATGGATTCTGACAGCTTCAGCTGCCCCCGTGACCCAGACCCCCTCCTCTCCACCTGCAACAGAGGAGCAGAGCACGCAGCTGGTGGTAAACTATCAGACCAACCGTAGAAACTGGCATTTCATCTGGGAATTCATTCTGCCCTAATTCTAGTTCTATTGTTAGCAGGGCCTGAAGTGAACTTATTTTGGCCACCAGCCCCGGTTGCAGGTGGATGACTGTTTTTCTATGTAGCTAGCCTACGCCTAATATAGAGATGAATGGCTCAGGAAATGATTTAGAGCAGTTTAAGCACACATTATAGCACCTTCAGGTTATTATCTAACTTAGTCTCATTTATAACTGGACCACCATAACAGCTGGATCTGACCAACATCTAGAATAGAAAATGACAGGAATACAAGCAGCCAATCATCTGAGTGACGTCACCCAGCCTACCGTCCAATTTACTCTACATCTGATTCTTTCTCACTCTTTCAGTCCAGGTCCATCTCCTCTTTTACTTTTTTTTTTTATTTTTACATTACAATAATAAAATATTTTTTGCTTTTAGTATATATTTATTTTAATGTTCAAAACTAATCTTTTGTCATGATTTTATCTAAAGCTCTGACCGACATGCAGAAGACCAAACAGAGAGACCAGGGGAAAGTTTAACAGGTTTTACTGAGAGTTGGTAGGTTGAGAGGAGTTCAGACTCATGTTTCCAGAAAAAGGTGTCTCTTGTTGAATCCAGTCATTGTGGGTTGTTCCAGTGAATGACTTGCTTGTTGGAGGGCGGACAGGGTTTACCCAGGTTGAGGTGTTTCCTTGAGGAACGGAGAAGCTGGCTGCCACTTAGTTTTCCTGCGGTACTTGAACGGTTTCTTGTGGAGATGAATCCCCTGCTCAGAGAGAAGCCCAAACTATCCTTGGGGGAAAAGTAGATCCAAACCACTAGCTTGAATCCCCTACTCAGTGTGAGTCTCAAACGATCCTTCCAGGGGGAGAAGGTCCAAAACATCCAGTTTGCAGGATCACTTCCTACCGAGAGGCAAAGACAAAACAAGGTTAAATTCAGGTTGACAAAAACTCAGTTTGACTCAGCAAAACTCAGCTTGGCTAGAGTACCCAAAACTGGCAAACACTCTGGCGTCGAGGTAGTGGCAGTCAGCAGCTTAAGAGTCCTCCGGTAATGAGGCAACCATCTGCAGGTGTGTGAAGAGGCCAACGAGAACCAGGCGCCGCCTGGTGGAGGAGGGAAAACAAACAAAAACACAACCCACCTAAACTGGATTCATAACATCTTTAAATTGAATAATGTTTTTATATATAATGAAAATATCAACTATAACAACAACAGAATTGACAGGATCCAGGCCATATTATTAGGGTTATAACCTTCTTCTCAGTTTTCATTGATTAATCAGTTTATTATATTCAGTTTCACCTTTCCTATAAAATATGCGTGAAAATGTTTCCTAATACCCGCCTGGTTTCCTGGTTCCTTCCTCCAGTAGACAGAAGCTCTCCTCTCCTGTAATGACCCTCCATTATTCTCCCTCTGGTCCATTTCCTTCCTCACTCTGATCTTCCTATTATGACAATAAACATTGAAAAAGATGCAAAAAGCAACATTGTGAGATAGAATTAGGAGAAGCAGTAATATTTAAGTCGCTTTTATTTCATATATTTGTTTTTATCTCTTCCTTGTCTCCTCGGTCTCTAATAAGACCAAAATACTAATAAGCAGAAATGACAGAAGGTTGAGTTTATTTGAGGAATAAATTAATTAGCAAATAATGGAGAGGTAGAAATGTTCAGAATCACTGTTAATTAGCCTAATCCATTGATATAACAGCCAGTCATCATTATGACACTAATGAGTCTAATTTGCATAAAAAGCTGCAATATTTACATAGTTTGTTTACAAAACTGTGCAAAGCTTTTCTTGATGCTGGCCTGCTACATAGTCTTACTGTCATGTTCAGCATCAGGACTGTTGTGTATTGGTGCAAGATTAATAAACTGAACTGAATTGGATTTAATCTGCATTAGCATATCTATGCTTAGGGTGCAGCAGTGATGTTGGATATTTTGGCTGGATCCATTAGACTCTAGGCTGGATCCTTTTAGACTCTAGGCTGGATCCATTAGACTCTAGGCTGGATCCTTTTAGACTCTAGGCTGGATCCATTTAGACTCTAGGCTGGATCCATTTAGACTCTAGGCTAGATCCTTTTAGACCTTAGGCTGGATCCATTTAGACTCTAGGCTGGATCCATTTAGACTCTAGGCTGGATCCATTTAGACTCTAGGCTGGATCCATTTAGACTCTAGGCTGGATCCATTTAGACTCCAGGCTGGATCCTTTTAGACTTTAGGCTGGATCCATTTACACTTTAGGCCTGATCCGTTTAGACTCTAGGCTGGATCCTTTTAGACCTTAGGCCGGATCCATTTAGACTCCTGGCTGGATCCTTTTAGACTTAAGGCTGGATCCATTTAGACCCCAGGCTGGATCCTTTTAGACTTTAGGCTCGATCCATTTAGACTCTAGGCTGGATCCTTTTAGATTTTAGGCTCGATCCATTTAGACTCCAGGATGGATCCTTTTAGACTTTAGGCTCGATCCATTTAGACTCCAGGCTGGATCCTTCTAGACTTTAGGCTTGATCCATTTAGACTCTAGGCTGGATCCTTTTAGACTCTAGGCTCGATCCATTTAGACTCCAGGCTGGATCCTGTTAGACTTAAGGCTGGATCCATTTAGACCCCAGGCTGGATCCTTTTAGACTTTAGGCTCGATCCATTTAGACTCCAGGATGGATCCTTTTAGACTTTAGGCTCGATCCATTTAGTCTTTAGGCCTGATCCGTTTAGACTCCAGGCTGGATCCTTTTAGACTTTAGGCTGGATCCATTTAGACTTTAGGCCTGATCCGTTTAGACTCTAGGCTGGATCCTTTTAGACTTTAGGCTCGATCCATTTAGACTCTAGGCTGGATCCTTTTAGATTTTAGGCTCGATCCATTTAGACTCCAGGCTGGATCCTTTTAGACTTAAGGCTGGATCCATTTAGACCCCAGGCTGGATCCTTTTAGACTTTAGACTCGATCCATTTAGACTCCAGGCTGGATCCTTTTAGACTTTAGGCTTGATCCATTTAGACTCCAGGCTGGATCCTTTTAGACTTTAGGCTGGATCCTTTTAGACTTTAGGCTGGATCCTTTTAGACTTTAGGCTGGATCCATTTAGACTTTAGGCCTGATCCGTTTAGACTCTAGGCTGGATCCATTTAGACTCCTGGCTGGATCCTTTTAGACTTTAGGCTGGATCCTTTTAGACTTTAGGCTGGATCCTTTTAGACTTTAGGCTGGATCCATTTAGACTCCAGGCTGGATCCTTTTAGACTTTAGGCTGGATCCATTTAGACTTTAGGCCTGATCCGTTTAGACTCTAGGCTGGATCCTTTTAGACCTTAGGCTGGATCCATTTAGACTCCAGGTTGGATCCTTTTAGACTTTAGGCTCGATCCATTTAGACTTTGGGCCTGATCCGTTTAGACTTTAGGCTGGATCCATTTAGACTTTAGGCTGGATCAATTTAGAGTTGAGGATTTGAATCAGAATTTGTTAAACCTGCTTCATGAAACGGAGCCCTGCTCTTCCACTACAAATGATTCATCTACATCTTTTGATGTACCTTTTCAATATAAGACCTTTCAATTATTGTTTCTTAGAATATAATTGGAGCTTTTCAAAAATTGAGTCCTTGAGGACAAACGGTAAGGTTTCCAAAGAGAGAAATTAAATATTACAAAAAAGAATTTCATACGTGTAATAATGTCCACTAAAAGACACAAATCAGGTAATATGGCTCTGTAGGATGCATTGTGGCATTCTCTTGTTTAAAGTCGTGCGGAAATCATTCTTAAATGTCAAATCATTCTGGCTAAAACATGTACGGCTGTAAGCCTTCTACACCAAACCAAGCTTCTGCCGCCCTGGCGTCCTCTTCCACAACATCTTCATCCCCGCTTTCCTCCTCTTAATAAAAAATGGATGACGGAGGAGACTCATCCACGACCTCCGACACTAAACTCTCCTCCTCTTGCATGTTTCCTCTGTCCATAGCGTTCCTTCACAGTGTCGTTTCTAAGTCACCAATTTAGTGCTACTTGGTCCCAATGGAATTTCCCATTGGGAACCTGGTAGCACTAAGTTGCTAACTGGTTAGCAAGATGCTTCCAACAAACCAGCCACAACCAAACTTGCTGAATGAAAGAAACATGGTTTTTATGGTTATTATTGTGACAGAATACATGTCGAACGTAATTTAACTCCTCTACCTTTTAATTTATGTTCCTCAGCAGAATATTTTCTGGTTTTAATATGTCCGCTATTCATTAGGCTCCCGGCTGCTGACAGTGCTGTAATAGATGTTGAAAAGCAGAGATGCTCATACATATATATATATATATATATATATATACACTCACCAGCCACTTTATTAGGTACACCTGTCCAACTGCTCGTTAACACTTAATTTCTAAGCAGCCAATCACATGGCGGCAACTCAGTGCATTTAGGCATGTAGACATGGTCAAGCCAATCTCCTGCAGTTCAAACCGAGCATCAGTATGGGGAAGAAAAGTGATTTGAGTGACTTTGAACTTGGCATGATTGTTGGTGCCAGAAAGGCTGGTCTGAGTATTTCAGAAACTGCTGATCTACTGGGATTTTCACGCACAACCATCTCTAGGGTTTACAGAGAATGGTCCGAAAAAGAAAAAACATCCAGTGAGCGGCAGTTCTGTGGGCGGAAATGCTTTGTTGATGCCAGAGGTCAGAGGAGAATGGCCAGACTGGTTCGAGCTGATAGAAGGGCAACAGTGACTTAAATAACCACCCGTTACAACCAAGGTGGGCAGAAGAGCATCTCTGAACGCACAGTACGTCGTATTTTGAGGCAGATGGGCTACAGCAGCAGAAGACCACACCGGGTGCCACTCCTTTCAGCTAAGAACAGGAAACTAAGGCTACAATTTGCACAAGCTCATCGAAATTGGACAATAGAAGATTGGAAAAACGTTGCCTGGTCTGATGA